AGACGGCACTGCGTCTCTGGTTGTCACTCACTGCACGTGTTTGTCACCCAGGACCGTGCACACAGTCGATAAGCTTGTCCCATGGCCAAGCCCCACTCCTCACGCGCACTTCCTTGGGGCATGCTTCTCCTGAGAGGAAAATCCTATGCTGTGCATGTTCTGGTCTGAGCTCCAACTCACATGCCAGGCAGCCTCTCCTTGGAGGACAAGTACTAAAGGGGGAGCCTTCACTCTTAGAAAGTCCCTCGAGCCCTGTTCTTTAGCCAGAATGCTGCCAGAAGTCACAGGCATCACTGACAATGGCCTACTCACAGTAAGACAATACTCTGTATGGCCAATCAGCCTGCAGATGACTCCCAGCACTCAGGCTCCTCCTCCTGTGGTTTTCTCTCCTTTTCTCCTTCCCATGTCCCAGCAGTCAAGGCTCCCACACTGGGCTGCGATCTGGTGTCACTTCAGCAGGGACTCAAGTGTGTGAGAAACCTCGGGTTTTCAGGTCCTCGTTAGTGCCTTCTGGTAATGCCGTAACCAACAAGATTAAACTTGAACGAGAAACCTTGTTGAGGTGTCAAGTGTCAAAATATTAGTGTTTCAAGTTGACAGACAAGCAGTTGGAAAGGGTCCAGGAACCAAGGGTAGACCTGACTAAGTCACAAAAACGCTGAAGCCCAGGTTTGTTTGGGTTTAGGATGACAGTGGTCCTTGTGAGCAGCATATCGGCCCATTGTCTGAGGAAGCAGCGCTGAGAAAGTCCAGAGCCTTAGCCAGGTGTGATGGTAAGAGAAAAAGAACCCAACCCGAGACGGCTCAGAGAGGGCAAGCACTTGGGCTTTCTTTAGCTTCTACAATGACCTTGGCTGAATTTCTATTTTCAAACATCGTATGTCATTTTGGAACAAAACTGACTGTGGTTTTGTGTAGACGTGGCAAATGATGGGCCGGGTTCATTTTGATCCTGAAGTTATGAGGAAATAGAGAGCAATTGAGCTTTGATAAATGCTTTTTGGATGCTGAGACTGTTGTAGCATCTCTGAAGTATCACTGAGGCCCCCTGGCATGGGTATAATGTTGCACCTCAATTGATGCTTTTGAGAACAGGAGGCAGGTTCAAGTAATATCATTTAGGAGCTAAATGGCTGTGTTCATGCTGACACAATCCTTTCGTCACTGTGCCTAGGGGTAGTCAGCTCTCTTGAAAAGGCACATGGTATCATCTGAGAGCCTTTCATGTGGACTCTATCACACTGCAGGAAAGATGGCTCATGGATGGGACATACAGCCATTTCTATGCCATTTCCACGTGTGTTTGATCCCTTTAACTTACATGGATACCTTATGTATCCATATCCATGTATGTAGTCTGCAAGTGCACAGGTCATAAAAACCAACCAACTTCTAATTGTGGATAGCAAATACCAGAAAGTAGATGTTCTGTTTTGACACTTCAGTTATGTGCTTATGTTACTGAGAAGCAGCAGGTTTCGGAGTTAACATACCTGTTTCCTTCCCTCCCTTGTGGGAAGAGCAGGAGACTAGTAAGTTTCCAGTGACAATGACTGACAGGACTGGCCGGCTGACTGTGAGGTGCAGGCCCTGGGAGGGCTCCTGTTCAAGCTTAGGAGGTACCAACTTCTGCTGAAGCCTGGTTAATAATCTACCCTCTGACAGCACTAGGAGGAGGTGTAGGCAGGGTATGCACTAGATATCTTATGATTAATTTAGCTTCTAAATTAATCCTCTTGGTTCAGTAAAGAAACACTCTGATAGGGAAAAAAAAACCATTCATCTTCCATGACTTACTTATTCTCTTGAATAAGCTGGCCAAAAAACAAGGTAATAGAGTAACCTTTTAAAATATTTCATCACCCATTGCTTTTCAACAGTTACCAAAATATCATTTTTATCAGTTACTGTGCTCTAGATGCTCAGTGAAATTGAAACTTATTTAAATATAAGATATAACCAATTAAGTTATTAATTAAACAAATGTGATGCTTGAATAATTCGTTAGTAAAACACACACACACACACACACACACACACACACACACACACACACACACAAATTCCTCTTGCTGTCTCAGGACCCCATTGCCTGAATGTGAAGTCCATTTGCCCAACCACCAGAGAACAGCTTGAACCCGAGAAGCTAAAGATAATGTTAATCTAGACAGCCATCACAGAACACAACGACATCCCACAAGGAACCAACAACAAGTCCAACACAAAGATGGGTGGAGTTTGATTGTGGGGTTACATGCTACAGGAATGGGGCTTCAGAAGAACTGGAAAAACCTTTAGAGACTCTGCAGTCACCAGAAGAGAATCTGAGATCATCGGAAGGGAAGAATGGCATGTTTTGTTCTTTCCTGCAGCCACCTTTCCCTGACTCTTTACTAGAACATGTGTTTTGAATAGACTACTATCTTTTTGTCTACTAACTAGATGACAAAATACCATGGAGAGGCTTAACAAATCATCTAAAGTCACATAGCAAATATATGTTAGAACCACAAGATGAAAACCGAGGCGTCTACTTTACATCCACCTTGACTTTCTGGAGAGGCAGAGGATCATCTGTGCTGGGCCTTAATGATTTGAGGGTCTGTTTTTTTCCTAAGAGTTGTTTTGGAAAGTAAGGGGTTGTCCACAAATGAGAAATCTTATAAAAGTAGGTCATTATTTGTCTTTAAATTTAATACATACACTGGTTGCCTTCAATAGTGTGAAAAGCCAATCTGAGTAGCACTCGAAGCTGAACTACTACAAAGGCAGAACTAGAAAGCAGAGTCCTTTTTCAGCTGAAAGTTCCAGAAGGCCAAAGTTGCTGCTCCTGGGTGGCAACCTGCTCTTGCTCTGCCTGGTTCTGATCAGACATTTTAAGCATTGCCACTTCCCAGACCTGGATGGACTCTGGGCCCCTGGGGGGCCAACCCCCCATGGTCCTGATTGCTTCACTGATAACTTAACCAAGTTTTCCTTTGTCCTTTCTGCTTCTCCAGCAGGAGCTATGTGGCTAATGCTTAACTTCCCTGCTGTGAGAAGCCTGGGCTTTCTGTTAGACCTCCCACCACTGTTCCCTACAATGGAAATTGGCCTTTTCCCAAGATCTAGAAAATGTTTCTCCATGCCTATCAACTCAGCCTGTGTGAATCTGCAAACTCATGTGGACAGCCTGGGAAGCACAGGGTTTCCTTTGGTACATCAGTGTGAGAGAGACTCCCTGTCCCCAACCTCCCCATGAGAGTGGGTCACAGCTCCTGAAATCACAAACATAGCCATGTGTCCACTTCATCCCGCATGTACTGAGTCATCAAAATAGGCTCGAATAACAACAGCATAATAACAATGCAAAGTTCCCACAGACAAGAGCAAGCTAGAGTTTTGAATCTTCTTCACCCATCATGAGCCTTAATGATGCTCTTCTTGATGTCCTCTTCAATCCTCTGTCAGCTTGTGGCATCCTCCTTGTGGGGAGTCTTCGGGCTTCTTCTTTGCGCCTACTGTGTACAATCGCTTTCCTGATGTCTCAGACCATCTTCCCACTGCTGATGATTTTTTCTGGGCTGACTTTGTGCCCTGCAAATATTTTTGATGAACTCAGGATTTTCTGTGTATAGCTTTTGATCATGAGGATACATAGGCAAATGGGGAAACTGAGGCCACTGTCATCGATACATGTAGCTAGGTGACTTTCTCCCTTCCTATTTAAATGTCCTTTATTTCTCTCTCTTGGTTGATGGCTCCGGCTAAGACTGCCAATAATTTATTGAATAAAAGTGACAAAACAGCATCCCTATGTTGCTCCAGGTCATAGCACACATACTTTTTATCATTTCTCCAGTCAGAGTACTGATACTTAGGTCTGTACTTGAGTACGGCCTTTATTATTCCAAGGTTCAGTCCTTTCACGCCTAACTTGTTCAGTGATTCTATCCTGAAAGGAAATTGAGTCTTATCCGGTGCCTTCCCCGCATCTGTGGTGATGATCACACAGGTGTGGCCTTTGTTATCTTGATACGATGTCATTAACTGGTGTATATTGAACCGTCTTTGCCCGGGAACCTCACTTGATTGTGGTGAATTAGCTTTCTAGCATGCTGTGTTTTCCAATACAAAATCACGCTTACAAGAAATATTTGGCAGAGGTTGTTAAGGCTTAAGTCCTAGACTTGAGTGGTGTGTTTATAATCTTGACATGTTGGATAGTCACGAAGCATGCCTCTTGAGTGTAGCCTAGGTTCCTTCTTCCAACTGTTTGTTCTCATTCTCATCAATAGCTGTATTATCAAACTTTAAAAGTGTTTGCCATTCTAAAAGTTTAAAAATACAATCTCAAATTTGTCTCCTCAACATATTTTAAATGTCATTTTTCTTATTCAGTTATATTATACGGGCATTTTATTGTTTTCTTCAAATCATTGATCTCACATTTCCTATAATATCTTGTCTAGAAAGATCTTCTTGTGTGCTAAGATCTTCATGTTTTGTTCTGGATTGATTCCGTTAACAAATTTTCTGCAATTTATCACGTTATTAAAAATTTAAAGTTTATTTGAGTAGACCTTTGGAAATTATTAAGATTTTAATTTCCTCTCTCTACCGAGACTACATGCCAATATCAATATCTAACCCTGTGCACAGGTTTTCTCAAAGCTCAAGTAATTGTGACTTAAATCCACTGTCTTTGGTGTGTTACGACACCACCCTATCCCACCCCACCCCACGCCACGTCCATGCCACCCCACCCCAAGCCCATGCCATCCATAAATCAGGTTATAGAGCCATTCTGTGCCCCAAGCTCTCTGGGAAGGTGCAGATAAAGAAAACTCAGGTTGTGTGCAGGGACTTTCCTACCCTTCCTCATCAGCCCTTCTTGCACAAGGTTGCATTGTTGGGGCAGCCATATTGGAGGAAGAAAGAGAGCACATCCCATCTGTCTGGAGAGCTAGTACGGCTTCTAACTGTGGTGTGTTTTCTCTCCCCCTCCTTTTTTCCAGTTAGGCATGATAAGAACAAAGGATACTGATTACTTTTTAAAGCCACTTCCTCCACACCTAACAGACAAAGCCACCAGGTCCGCACAGGCTGGCTCTCCCTCCCACGTACTGTACAAAAGATCCACAGAGCCCCAGGCTCTCAGAGAAAATGAAGTCCTGATGGTCACCAGGAAGCGAGATCTGTCGAGACCTCACCTTCACCGTGGCAACTTCCATCTTGACCTCCCACGGAAGCAGCATTTCTGTGGTAGACGCAAGAAATGTATGTAAGGGCGATTTTTGTGCATTTAATGATTTGGATGATTGTGTAAGATAATGGGATACTTTTAATTGATTAAAGGCATGTCCTACACAAGGTGAAGTGTACTAACTGTTACTGCTGTCATCAGGGGTGACTCTAGTGATCATATTGTATCTCTCATGAGTGGTGGATGGATGTGGCAGATGATTTAAAAAAAAAAAAAAAAGCTAGGGAGCAGATTACAATGACACACATCTCAGAAGTATAAACCCTGCCAGACATCTTAAAAAACCGAGAGCCCTGGCATCCCCCTCAGTAACTCTATACTTGAGGTTTAGACATATTAAAGCTCACATAGTTTTCCTGCTGAGGTAACTTATTTATATGCATATTTGTAGCTTTACACTGCCACATCAAAGAGGTGAGTGGAGCACAGAACTTACCTGCAATTTGTCAGCCAGCCGTTATGAGCATCGTGTTGTTTTGACCCCTTAGTGAGAACTCCTGTTTGCATGTATCCAGTTCTCATGGTCGAGGAAACCCACAGTTCTCTAGAGTCTCCTCTTGGCCTGAGCGTTCAGGCATCGCCTGATTGGCCTTTCCCAGGGAACACAAAGGCAACCTAGGCCTCCAGCCCAAATCTACTCTGGCTCTCATGGTTGCTTGATCTACCTCTCTGAAGCGAAAGAGAGAACCTGGCAGGTATTCTACGGATCTTGGTGAATAAGAAGGCTGGATGAAGCCACTGGTGCTCAATGAAGGGACAAGTGCCACTGAGGTATCAGAGCCCATGCAGCGTCTGAACTCATGTTGTCCCATGAACAAAATTCAAGGGCTGTGTTCAGATGGGCCTGGAAATCTCAGAGTGAAGCAAGTTCTGTGGGATTCCTCTTTTGCCTGCTTGGCTTCTTGCAGAGTTGGCGCTGATTTTCTTGGTGGGTCCTGTTCTTCTAAGTGGATGTCACTCATGGAAGGGCTGTTCCCATTAGAACCCCTGCTTTCCAAAAATGTGAGCGTGTTCTCTTTAGAAGCAGATGACCAATGCAGATAATTAGTTCAAGTGTATGCTGAGGCTGGAGGTATGGTTGGTGAAGGAAACTTGGTCATCTCAGCTGCGGGCATCTGCTGACGTGGCGTTAGCTAGACCCACATGTTCCCAGGGCATTTGGAAAGCACTGACCTAAGGCGGACAGTGTTTGCTTTCAGGGCCTTCTGAGAGTGCTGCCCCTGTAGCCAGCATTGGGAATATGGTTGCCCTGCTCTCTGATGTGTCCTGCCTTTGTATCGCACACATTTTCCCACCACTGGAGGTTAAAACCAAGAGATCTAAAGGTCACACCACACCTATCTGAAACCCTTTGCTAATACTTTCTAGAGAAGAACCAGGAGTTGGCTGTATTTACTCCCTCTGCATCTGTGGTCCCACAGCATCCTCTACAGTAGCTGATATAGAAGCCGAGTGACCCAGAACAGCTCCTACAAGGGTGTCTATGCATGTGTAAGTTACAGTGGTCACAAAGCTTCCATTAACCTTAGCTAGGGCTTGTTTAGGTTTGAGATACAGGCTGAGGGAGTCTCCCACAGATGAAATACTTGTGATGGGAAATTTTACATATTTCACCATATTTTGAGTTGTAGAATACTTGTGTGTACCCATAATGAGTAACCTTGGAGATGAATTCCAAAACTGAACAGAGACTTCATTATTAACAATGTGCCTTAACATGTACCTGGAGGTCATTCTAGAGGATGGTGTGTATGGGTTTCAGGTGTGACTTGTCACAAACACATGGTAGAGGATTTCTACTTGTGGCTTCATGGTTCAACTCAAATAGTTTTGGATATTGGGTCACTTCTGGATTCAGAGTTTTTAATTTAGTATGCTTGATTTGTATTTCCAACTTAATGAACCAACAAAAAGATTTAAAATGCATCAGCCATGAGCATCAATCAAGCAGAGTCTTATTTGTTCCTAGCAGGTTCTATAGGTGAGCTTCTAGAGTTGGAAGTTGAGGTCACCAGGACGGGGGATTGAAGTAAACTTCCCCATGAAATGATTCTGCAGTTTCTTAGCCGTCTTCCAAAGTTAATCATTTTTAATGTGGTGTTAATTGTCATAATTACAAAAGCATGTTAAAGGAGTCACTGCACAAGGGTAGAGTGTGGTTTGCTCTGTAATTAAGTCTGCTAAGTATTCACCGCCTTCATTAGACTGTTCAGCACCCATCGAGTGCAGCTGCCACCAACAGTGTACGACTGACTGGGAGGATTATTGGAAAGCTAGTTATGTCCTGATGCCAGCATCAACTGGGAAGAGAAAGCAAGTGCTTGCTGCTCTGCCAGTAACGGTGTGGAGGAGCTCTGCTCTGGAAATCTCTGTGCCTTTATGTCCTTGGCCCTAGGACGTGCTCGTTTTAGATAATAGGGTTCGGCTCTCATTTTAAATCAGAACAAAACTATGTGAAGTCAGTTCTGGCAATGATTTCCAAGACACCAAGATTATATGAAGCTCATTTAAATTTAGAAGGTGACTTTAACACGTCTTGTGTCGCAAAGAATTGGCAGTTCTGTGTTCTTCTAATATGAGAATCCTATTGCTGTGTTTTGGTTTCTTTGTGTAGCCCAGGCTGTCTTTAAAACTCGGGATCATCTTGTTCAGCATGAACATGTAAGATGAATATTAAAAGGTCTTATTAATAAAAAAAACCCGGAGCTAGATATTGGGGTGAAAAACTGAGGGATCAGAAGAATAGGAAAGCCACAGCCAACCTCACCTCACCAACTCCTCAGCTTCCAAACAGAGCTACTTCCTGTATACCCACACCATCTCACTTCCTCTCTCTGCCCAGCTACATCACTTCCTGTCTGTCTGTACAGACCTCCAGACCTCTATGGTTAGTGATGGGATTAAAGGCATGTGCCACCATGCCTGGCTCTGTTCCCAGTGTGCTCTTGAACTCACAGAGATCCGCATGGATCTGAGTGCTAGAATAAAAGGCATGTGCTACCATTGCCTGACTTCTAGGTTTAATATAGTGGCTGACTTTTTCCTCTGATCCTCAGATAAGCTTTATTAGGGTGCACAATATATTGGGGGGACACAATATATCGCCACATGAACATTCATTTTTCAGACTTCTGTAGCATCAGCTTTGACTCTGGCTTTGTGTATTTGCTCTAGCTTTCTCTACCCATTCCTCCATAGACATGCCCCAGCCTCCCAAGGATGACCTCTATATCTTGCCTGATGAGTACAAGCCTACCTCCCGCCACAAGCGCTCCCTCCTGAAATCCCACAGAAATGAAGAGCTGAATGTGGAGACGCTGGTGGTGGTTGACAGAAAGATGATGCAGAACCATGGCCATGGGAACATTACCACCTACGTCCTCACTGTACTCAACATGGTAGGGATGGCCTCTTTGAAGTCACAGGCATACATGTGTGTGTGTGTCTCATGCCTGTGTGTATGTGTGCATGCCTGTGTGTGTGTATATATATGTGTGTGTGTGTATTTGCATATGTGTGTGACCTTGTGTACATTATGTGTATTTGTTCATGTGCACATGCTTGTTTGATTGTGTGTGTGTTTGTATGCATGTCCTTGTGTGTGCACGCCAATATACGTTTCATTTCTTACCTGTATACCTGTGTCTTGGTGTAATAAATTCTTATTTTACTAATTTCCAATCAAAAGGTGAAATTTCAGAACTTTGGGGAATTGAATAGGGGAAAACTAATTTGATCATTGTCGCAATGTGGCTTGTTTCTGAGGCACTTGGGGTACACTGGTGCCCTCACATACTAAACGTCTCACCAGGACATTGACGCACACATTTTGAGACAACAGATCTTTATCAGATTAACATGTAATTTTAGGCTAAGATAATGCCTATCTCTAAGACTATTAATGTTCAGGTGTTGAATATAAATTATTTTATCTGCAGAAACCAAGAAACTCCTATCTTGGAATATCTTCCCAGATGAAACATGTCTTTATCTTAAGGAACACCCATGGGAGTGATTGTGGAGCTGTGAGAGATGCTCTGTCCCACCTCCTGTGAACTAAATCCACATCACAGAGAGAAAAAACTGGGCTGTCCACATGTCAGAGAAAGTTAATCACAGTGTTTTAAATATATGTTTGACCTCCTAAGTCTGTGAACTAAGTACCCCACATGGGCCTGTGTCTCACTCCCTATAGTTACCCCCAATTTTCTCTCTCCCCACAAAGAAACTTATTGTATATCTCTTTCCTCACAGAATATTCACATCTTCACCAGAGTATACACATGGTTCTCTCCCCACAGAGTACCCACATGGTTCTCTCCTCACAGAGTACCCACATAGCTCTCTCCTCACAGAGTACTCCTGTTGCTCTCTCCTCACAGAGCACCAGGCTCTGTGGCTGTACTCTGTCTAGAATCTCAGGATCCTGATCTGTGGCAGCTATCATTTGCCTATATTCTGTAGAAGTGTCCCAATATTTCTTTACCTCAGTATCAAAGAGCTGCCATGGTTATCTGCAGCCTCCAGGATCACCACACTACCCCTGCTCCCAAGCCTGAATGTCACTCTAGGCCTTTGTTTCTGCTTCTGTGTGCCATCCCCCCTTGTGTTCACACATCACATCATCCTGACTTCTGTCCCCTCCTCTTGGTCTTGTCCTCAGTGTTTCTCCTGTGGTCCCAGAAGTCCTTGTGGTGCACTTGGCATTTGCCGTCACCACTAAGACTAGAATAATCCTTCTAGCAAGATACAGTGGCCCATGCGTGGAATCTGTGCAATCCTAGTACTCAGGAAGGAAGCTGAGATGGACACAGTGTGAATCAAAGGCCAGATAACCTACATAGACTACAAGACTGTTGCAGTAGTGAAGAGGGTGATGATGAGGACCATGATGATGATAGTGATGAGGATGATGATGAGGACCATGATGATGATAGTTTTGAGGATGAGGATCATGATGATGACAGTGATGAGGATGAGGATGAGGACCATGATGATGATAGTGATGAGGATGATGATGAAGATCATGATGATGATAGTGATGAGGATGATGATGAGGATCATGATGATGATAGTGATGAGGATGATGAGGAGGACCATGATGATGATAGTGATGAGGATGATGATGAGGACCATGATGGTGATAGTGATGAGGGTGATGATGATGAGGACCATGATGATGATAATGATGAGGATGATGATGAGGACCATGATGATGATAGTGATGAGGATGATGATGAGGACCATGATGATGACAGTGATGAGGATGATGATGAGGACCATGATGATGATAGTGATGAGGATGATGATGAGGATCATGATGATGATAGTGATGAGGATGATGAGGAGGACCATGATGATGATAGTGATGAGGATGATGATGAGGACCATGATGGTGATAGTGATGAGGGTGATGATGATGAGGACCATGATGATGACAATGATGAGGATGATGAGGAGGACCATGATGATGATAGTGATGAGGATGAGGACCATGATGATGTTGTTGATGAGGATGATAATGAGGACCATGATGACGATGATGATGAGGACCATGATGACGATAGTGATGAGGGGGATGATGAGAACCATGATGATGATAGTGATGAGGGTGATGATGATGAGGATCATGATGATGACAGTGATGAGGATGATGAGGAGGATCATGATGGTGATAGTGATGAGGGTGATGATGATGAGGACCATGATGATGACAGTGATGAGGATGATGAGGAGGACCATGATGATGATAATGATGAGGATGAGGACCATGATGATGATAGTGATGAGGATGAGGATGAGGACCATGTTGATGTAGTGATGAGGATGATGATGAGGACCATGATGATGATAGTGATGAGGATGAGGACCATGTTGATGTAGTGATGAGGATGATGATGAGGACCATGATGATGATAGTGATGAGGATGAGGATGAGGACCATGATGGTGATAGTGATGAGGGTGATGATGATGACCATGATGATGATAGTGATGAGGATGAGGATGAGGAGCAGGAAGATTTTTGAAAACTGTCTCTCCTTCATGTTAGGTAACAGATAGACACCCTTATCCTCAAACTTCAACTTTAGACTTCCAGGCTTCCACAGTAAGGGTTCCATCATCAGCCTTCCCACATATCTATACTACTTCAGAAATGTAAAGATGTTACACTCACTTAGCTAAGGCACTGAAGAACTAGGGTTTACTCTTATAGGCAAAATTTGGGCCACGGCTAGTCTATAGCACACTCATGGCTAATGCCCATTTTCTGTTTTCAGGTGTCTGCTTTATTCAAGGATGGAACAATTGGAGGAAACATCAATATAGCCATTGTAGGGCTCATTCTGCTAGAAGATGAGCAGGTATTCCAGCTCCGAAAGCAGCAGCTTTATTTCCCCTGGAGGAAAATGAGTGTGAAATGCTTCTTTAAAAAAATACAGTTGCTCTGTGCAATACATGTTTATTTCTCTTTTACTTGGAAAAAGAAGGATTTCATACTTTGTGTTTAAAATGACTCATTTGTTTACAGTTCTAATTGTGCATGTGCATGTGTGTGTGGTGTATATATGTGTATGTGTGTATGAGTGTGTTTGTGTGTGTGAATATGTGTGTGTGGTGTATGTTTGTGTGTGTGTGTGAATATCTCTGTGTATGTGTGTGTGTGTGTGTGTGTGTGTGTGTGTGTGTGTGTGAAGGTGGTGGTGAGGTTGTATTGCCACTGCCTGGGGTGGGCAGCCCCCAGCAGTGCAGGGCTCAAAGGGAAATCCACAGCGTTGGTGTGTACTATGCTTTTGTATCAGAGGGGGTTACAGGAATAAGATACTCACACTCTCTCTTGATGGTTCTTTATTCTTCTGTATTCTTCATTTTGTATTCTATATTCTCTTTTCTTATCTCTATCCAGAAATGTCCCTCTGTCTCTCTAGATGTTTTCCTTCTCCTTCTAACTCTCTTGATATTCTCCTCCTAATTCTCTCATTCTTGATGTTTTCCTCCTAATTCTCTCATTCTTGATGTTTCTCTTCTAACCCATTTTAACTCTATATTTTTTACTTTGCAGTTTATATACCCCAGCAAAATCTTCCAGAAAATATAACAATTACAATGTGGTTACATTCTGTTTTTCAAGTAAATGATTACAGTGAATACAAGTAAAAAGCAGCATGTTTTCCATGTCACTTATATGATTAAACATTTTAAGTATTACAGGTGAAAAACAAATTATCCCAAGAACCCACATACATTCATACACAATAACTTGTTATAGATTAACTGTGTAGGAAAGTAAAATATTCTTCTTAGTCAGGTCTTTTACTGGTAGGCTGCATTTTGCAGTTACAAAGAAAGGACCAATTACTTTGTAACTTATCTTGAAAGGTAATCTTATAGGAATCTTAAAGGAATTACAAACCTAAACTTTTATATATGAAAAACTGTCAGTTCTACTTTAAATCTTTAGGGTACACACCCACTCATCAATAGTTTTTATATCAGGATATTGAGATAAGAAATGGGTATAAGGAATTAATCATCACCTTTGGTCATCAACTAATCCTAGCAAGAAAAGTGTGTCAGCTAGTGATAATTGGGTTGCTTTGTTCTTGTTCCCCAACCTTAAAGAGTTCCTCACTCAACTATGTGCCTTTCTAAAACTTTAGATTATCTTCTTGGATTTTTCACCTCAAAGCTATTATCAAAACATCTTATCTAACCTGAAGCTATTATACGGCTTTGTTTCAGGAAATGCACACCGAAATTTGTGACTGTATTTTTCAGCATTAAGAATGAAAGAATTGAAGCTAACTGGGCTACTGGACTCTTAATCATGAACCTAAGCCACAGTCTATTTGGCTCCTCAGTAGTAACTCATGTGTTCTAGCTGTGTGACACACTTCCTTGGTTTTGTTTTTTTTTTTTTTTTTTTTTTTTTTTTTTTTTTTTTTTTATCAAAGCTCTATTTAGACTAACAATTTTTTTCTTTCTTTTTTTTTTTGTGTGTATGTGTGTGTGTGATTTTTTTTTCCGAGACAGGGTTTCCCTGTGTAGCTTTGCGCCTTTCCTGGAACTCACTTGGTAGTCCAGGCTGGCCTTGAACTCACAGAGATCCACCTGGGTCTGCCTCCCAAGTGCTGGGATTAAAGGTGTGCACCACCACCGCCCGGCTGTACGCCACCACCACGCGGTTATGTGTGTGTGATTTTTTGAAACAGGGTTTCTCTGTGTAGCCCTGGCTGTCCTGGAATTCATTCTGTAGACCAGGCTAGCCTTGAACTCACAGAGATCCACCTGCCTCTGCCTCCTGAGTGCTGGGATTAAAGGCATGCTCCACCACAACCCAGTATATGTGTGTGGTTTATGTGTGTGTATTGAGTGTGTGGTGTGGCTGTATGTGTGTGGTGCATGTATGTGTGTGTTTGGTGTGTGTGTATGTTTGAGTGTGATGGTGAGGTTCTGTGTGTATAGTGTATGTATGTGTGTGAGTATGAGTGTGTGGGGTGTGTGTGCATGTATGGGGTATGTGTGTGTGTGTGTGTGTGTGTGTGTGTGTATGAGTATGTGTGAAGTATTTGTGTCTGTATGTATGCATGTGTGTGTGCCTGTGTGTATGTATATGTTGTGTGTATGAGTGTGTTTTGTGTGTGTATAAGTGGGGTGTGTGTGTGTGTGTGTGTGTGTGTGTGTGTGTGTGTGTGTGTATGTGTGGTATATGTGGGTTCATGGGCAAACAGAACCTAGGATGCATTTGTCATGAAACTGTGGGAAGGAAACACACTGGTAGATTGAAAGACGAATGTGTCTTCAGCCACAATAACTTCCTGTGTGTGCTTTGCTAGAAGACTGGCTATGTCCCCAGCATGGATGGTGAGCTGTGCTGTCTCCTGCTGTACCGTGTTGTTTACCCCGCCACCTTCTGCTTCTCAGATCCCCACAATCCTCAGGCTTAGATTGTGTCTTTGCCTTGGAGATCCTGGAAGACAGAACACATTTTCCTTACTGCACGCTGGCCTCAGTTAATGGTGTCTGGGTGGCAATGGGGAAGGAAGGCCCTCCCCTCCAATCCAAGCCTCCTGTCACCCCACACAGCTGTGTGCTGCACCCTGGGGAGCACCTCACAGCAGCATTCCCAGTGTGGAAGTCTTCATTAAAAGTGGATTCCACTTCTGTTTCTCCATGCTGATAACTGACTCAGCAAAGGCATGTGGGCCCAGGAACCGAGCCAGACACCAAGCAGCCACTCCCACCCTTGGTGATGTCTTCAGTGTCTCGTGGTAGCCACGGCGCCCTTGTTTATAAAGCTAAGAATGTTTTGGATGGAATCAGAGATGATTCATAACATCTGTGGGACACCCCTTTTTCCACACAGGTGGGATGCAGCAGGGCGGGCTGTCTAGCCTGTCCAAGGCCATTGTCTGCTCTGAGAGCGTGCAGCTGGGAGGCTTTGCTCAGCTAGTCAGGCTTCTCCGGTGACAGGTTAATTATTCCCTGTATTAAAAACGTTTTCACTTTGGAATTCATCCAAGCCGCACAGAATAAGCAGCAAGGTTATCGTTTGATCATACACCTGTGTTCACTTTAATTAGCAACAGTTTCCTGGAAATCACCAGCTGAGGAATGCAGACGTGCTTCTGCACTTATGTGCAGCAGGTCGCTTAGGTGCATGTGACTCTTAGAAAACAAAATAAACATCGAAGGGGAGAATGTCTTCGGTGACTAAGAAACAACTGTTTTCAGTCATGGCTAATGCTTTTTACAAGATAGCATTCTGAAACAGGGGCATATAAACTGGTATTCTCTAATTGCCCTTACGACACGGTAGCAAGCCTACAAGCAGGTTCAATAACTCAATGCACCTGTTGTCATAGTGTTCCTGGCCCTCCAGCCTCCATCCCTTATAGTTCTTGACTGCATGCCCATAGTTCACTGCCGCTCTATCAGCACTCGATAGGCATGGGTAAGTTTAATGGTAATCTATACTGTTTCCTTGATGTTTATTTTTCAGAAATAAAGCTTTAGAATTTGACCTTTTTACGCAAATAAGTTGCCTTTGTGTAGAAAAGTTACTGGCTTAACACTGTTACAGTAGACGTGGGAATGCTGCTATTCACTTAGGTTGTGAATTCACCACTGGTGAGGTTGTATGTATGTGTGTGTGTGTGTGTGTGTGTGTGTGTGTGTGTGTGTGTGTGTGTGTGTGTGTGTGCTGTATAATCCATATACAAAAGAGTCTATTCTAGCTACAATTTTTCAAAGTATTAGTCAAAGATATTTTTATGCAGAAGATTCATACGCATATTTTGTATTTCTTGGTCAATAATATGCATTCCAATTGGTTGTGTATAGAAATGCACATAAGTGTGTTCACTGAATCCATACAGATTTGTAGAATACACTGTCATTGGGATGATAATACATCATATGTAACTCTTATATTATGTACCTTCTGGGTCCATCTGTGTGTTTTAAATTTCCATTAAGAATATCCTGCTCTGTTGAAAATGGCTTTTGCATATTTTGTTTACATTTCCATGGGTGTCTTGGCCTCTCTTGCCTAGCCAGGGCTGGTGATTAGTCACCATGCGGACCACACTTTAAGCAGTTTCTGCCACTGGCAATCTGGACTGATGGGGAAAGATGGAACTCGCCATGACCATGCCATCTTACTGACTGGACTGGACATATGTTCCTGGAAAAATGAACCCTGTGACACATTGGGTAAGATTCTCCAGTATGATTTGGAGGGATGTGGAAGGGTGTCACACCAGAGGTTGATGTGGTTACCATCACTACAACCAGTAGCTTTACCTATCAACTGATGTGTTACAAGAAAAAGTCCCACCTCAAATTCCAGAGTTCCTACCCTTTCTCAGGTAAGAACTGCTCTTCCCCATCTTTTCTACCACTACGAATGGGACCAGGAGATTCAAACCTGTCTTATGATGTGGTAAGAGTAGTGGATTTGTTGATACTGATGGAAACACCACAGAAATGTTGTACTGTCCGTTTCCATATTTGTCTGTAAAGATCTGAGCATCAGCAATCCAGTTGTGTTCTAGACATTCACAGAGTGACACAGCACTTTGACATTTCCACATGGCCAAAGAGTGTACTACTAACCAGGACTCTACAGAACATTTCTTTTGAACTCTATTTCTTCCCCAAATTCAGAGGGGTAGTTTTATTTTAGAAGCATCTGAATAAGACTCAGTCTAGCAGAGGTTAGCTCTGCTTCTCACCAAGGCCTCCTTATGAGGCTGACCCTCGGCTGGCCCTAGAAGACACGTGTTTTACCCACCCTAGTCAGCAAGGCTCATAATGTTTGGACTGCTTGGACATTGCTTACCATCTACTTTCTTTCTCTGGAGGTCTGAAAGTTTTCTATGTGTCAGGCACTTAGTACCTCCATTACCAGCTCCCAGGGACAACTGCAGACACTGAGAACCTAGTGATATTTCTGGATAGATGACTTTACATGGATGTTACACTTCCTTGCTGGGGACATCAAGATGCCCCTGTGTGATTGCCCGAAGGGAAGTCTCAGAAGCCCAGCATGGTTTCTCCTCATGTCTCCCATGAGCTTTTCCTTCTCTGTCCTTTGTCTTTCTGCAGTATTAAATCATGAGTCACAGACGGCAAGTGCTTAGCCTTGCAAAAGTGAATCGCTGAGCTTGGGGTGTGACCCTGAGGACCTCACAACACACTCATTCTCTACTGTTTTTCCCTGGAGGCTTTAGTGGACAGATATTTCTAGGAAAAGGCAGGAACCATCCTCATCTGCATTTAATCCTCTCTTCTATTTCATGCCAACTTTAGTCTTTTCCAGGAATACTGCATAGAAACTGAGCCTGTTTACCAGAAGACAGAGTCCATGGGCTCCTGAGAATACATAAGATATATCACTTCCCCCACAGCAGCATATCATATTTACATGGCTGTCCAAAGGTAGCCCATCTCACATTTCCCCAAATGAAGATGAGAACCAAACTTTAGCAAATATTAGAAAACAAATACACAATCACTCATTATCCATCAACCATACTGTGCATCCTCTTTATCTTTATGTCCTACAGGGTTCGCACCCATAAACGGGATGTGCAGTAAGTACCGAAGCTGCACAATCAATGAAGACTCAGGACTTGGACTGGCCTTCACCATTGCGCATGAGTCTGGACACAAGTAAGTCTGTCTCATGCGGAGGGTGGTGCTCTGCTGACTACATGATCTGCATTTCAGTATCGGTTCTGTGGTTTCATCTCATTTTCTAACTGGCTGCTGTTGTGGTACTCTATTTGACTAAACAGAGGAACAAGGCTACTGCTCTGGAGTCTCCCTCTCTCTCTTTGTCTCTCTCACATACACACCACACCACACACACACACACACACACACACACACACACACACACACACACACACACACTCATATATGATTTGTAGACATGCTATACTTGGAGGCATACAGTGGAGCTTGGGAGTGTGGTCACTGAGAAGTTGCTCCGGTAGGACATGGTTGACATTCCATGTTCTGACACTGACTTCCAAGCTATTGCCTATGAAATGAGGTAACCTCAGGTTGTGCTGGGAGCTGGGTGGTTCAGCAGCCTGGATTAACAGGGCCCTAGACAAACAGCAATCAACAGTGATTGTGTTGGGCTAGTGAGACGGCCCAGTGCTTAAGCTGCTTGCTATCAAGTCTGACTCTGAATTTGATCCCAAGACACACATGGTAGAAAGAGAATCCAACTCCTGCACATTGTTCTATGACGTCTACACTCATGCCTTTGTATGTGTGCACCTACACAAAGACACTTGAAGAGAGAGAGAGGATGGAGTGACAAACAAGTGTGATAAGTCACTTATGGTGTCCTTTTTTTCATGTAAAAGAATCTTAAAATCATAACCACAATGGCATATAGAAATCATTATTCTTATACAAAATTTCATCCTCATAATCTTGTTAGCTCTTTCACCTTTGAGCATGGTTTATTGAAACTTTTCCAAAGGCCCCACTGGCTCCCACGTAGCTATGGACATCCTCTGAGAACCCTGAGGACTACAGAGCTCAATTGTCATCATAGAAGTTATTTCTGCCCTGTTGAGACAGTGCTTGAAATTTCTCTTAGAAAATGCACAACTTGGGATTCCCCTTCTCTGCTAATTACCTTTCTTGGAGCTCGATTTTCCTGTCAAGAGAAAAACAGAAGCAGTGTTTTTTATTTGTATTTTGACAGAACTAGTTTTTCTACCTCCTATTGGAAAATGAACTCAACTCACCTGTTGTCAGAATAACATTCACACGTGTGTGCTCACATGCATGCACATGAACACACACACCACAGGTGCAAGTGTGATCCTTTGTTCAATCAAATCCCACAGAGGCCCCTTAGGTTTTGACTTTATGTAAACTCTTGACCTGAAGACAAAGCTGAACACCGCGTTACCATTCCCTTCATTACCACAGGTAGTGATTGATGACTTCATTGCCTAGACAATTACACCTGCACTCTGTAAGGCTTTCAGTTAAAACATAATTGTAATTTTAATAGTCCGCTAGAGTTAAAAACTTTCATTATTATAATGACACTGGACTCTTGTTGTCCTCTCAACCGTACCTGGCCTTAATTAAAGAACCAAGGCAAGAAATATTTAAGTCACTGAGAACTCAGCCTGCAAGAGTTTGATAAGCAGTGGGATAGAGACACAGGCATTGGCAGTACTATCCACGACTACAGGTGTCAAACTTAACTGAAACGCAGCGTGATTCTTCCTAATTGGAGCTCTCAGCCTCCGGTCCCACCTGACCCATTCTCTGGATCTGTAGAACATGAGAGCTGGCCAACCCTTGAACCAGGACCTAGCCTAGTGATCGTCTCTGCCCGTCTCTGCCCTCAGAGGAGACCCCTGCTCATGTCGGGTTACCCGTTGCCATTCCTCTTTATAGTTCTTGTATTTGAAATCGCCTGGCATTTGACCACTCACCCCGCTACCCTACCACAACACATATCCCCACAGTTGGTATGTGAAGATGTCTCTGTGTGGGGTGATGTGTCAGGAGCACAGTGCATGTTCAGTATATATGGAGGGATTTGTCCTCTAAGTTTACATAAGGAGAAACTGAGGCTCAGTGAGTTCAACAATTTTGCCCAGTACCAAACAGCTCATGTATGATTGAGCCAAGATGTTGACTAAGCTCCTTCCCTCAGCACACACACACAGACACACACACACAGACACACACACACACACACACACACACACACACACACACACACACACACACACACACACACACACATTTCCATAGCTCCTGCTTACTCCAGCAACCCGTCTGAGGTCGTCTAATCCCAGTCCAACTGTCGTTTCCATCTCTGCCCCATGCCTCCTGATGAGGGTGCTCTTCTTACCTAAGGAAGTCTATGTCAGAGCTGTGGACATCCTGGTCCTACCGATGGCTACCCTCATCCCTCCAAGGGGAATCAGTATCTGGATGGCATGGCCCCCTTGCCCCACTCAAGGGCATCTCACTTCCTTAACCACACTGTCCCAACAGCCTGCACCATTTCCTAACACTACTTGCAGTTCATCACCCTGGAGACAGGTTAGTGATAAATAAAGTACTTTCTTACAGCAATGGGACACAGAGAGAATAGTGGAAGACACAAAAGGCACTGAATGTTGAATGTACGTCTAAAAGCCAGTTTATCTGAAATTATGTTTGCAATGTTTTGTTTTCTTCATGTTGTTATTATTTAGTTATTGTGCTAACTAATGGGTCTGTAATGAGACTTTCTTATACATGTATTATTGTACCCTGTTCTATTTTCACTTTCCACTGGCTTTCCCCATACCCCTTCCCCTTCCTAACCCCTTCCTGATTTCTTGTCTTACATATGTATTTGCACGTATACATATATGTCCGTACATTTGTATTCTCCATGTGAGAGAAAGTAGGTACCATTTTCTCTTTTCCTTCACACTATCCTATCTGTTGCTTATCTCTCTATATCTCTTCCTCCACCCTCATTGTCCACCTTACACTACCGTTTCATATTGTATGTATGTATGTATGTAGGTAGGTAGGTACATAGGTATGTACATACGTGTGTGTGTGTGTGTGTGTGTGTGTGCAAATATATACATTTAAATCTAGACTCCAAAATACAGGAGAAAACAAAAACCATTCTGTCTTTCTGAATTTGGCTTGTTTCACTTTACAAAGTGACCTCCAGGTTAACACTTTTGTGTCTGAGTCACAGTCATTGCTGGAAGATTGCCCTTTAGTCAACACACAACAATGAATAAGCTTCTAAGGACTGTTGCGTTCATGGGCAGCATGTGTATGAGCCTGGGTGGGAGACATCTAGATCCTTCAGGAACAAACTATTAAAGATGAAGGGACAAATACTAATAATTATTTAGCTTATGGGATGATAATCATTTTAAATAGAGTGCCATGGTGCATGGGAAAAGAAGTGTAATCTGGTACACATAGCTTGAATTATACTTCTTGGTAACAAATACCAGTCTTATCTTTGAGATATGTCTCCTCTTTCTTCCATGACTTTCACATTAATATCACATGTGGTCCCTGTAGCATTTTTATGTAATAATCACATTCATCATGTCTGTACATGGTGCACTGATTGGAAAGAAAACTTATGATATAGTAGGGCACAGATTTTTGTAGGCACCAGAATCATATGCAGTGGGTGAGCACACCGTCAGATGCTCACTCGTATTTCACAGCATACTAGTAAGCCAGAAGTCTCCCAGGGCAGTCTTTGGGTAGCCAAAGGGTGTAGAATATTTCTCTGATGCTTTAATACTAGCAGAATTTGAAATTTGATCATTGAAAATACCTTTGATGAAAAAAATAAATGAAAACCAAGAAATCTCCAGCCCCCAGGCATTGGTATTTGCATTCCTTAGCATGTGGGCTGAAGTGGTGGTAAAATTATGTAGGTCAAGTGTGGGGCTGTAACGTTCTCCACTGAGAGCAGGTCAAGGGTCGGCCAGGACAGCGTGCTTTGGCATTCGGTTGTCATTGCTCTATCCCCAGTGCAACCTCCCTTCTGGGATTTCAGCCCAAATCCTTCTCACAGCCATGACACATTTCCCCTGCCATGTGGTTGCCTTGGCCTTGATTAATTGCCTTTAAAAGAACTTCAGAGAATGGGTGGAGGTTAAAATGACCACATCCACATCACCCTTGGTACTGACCAGGAATTTTGCAGAAATCTGACAATATTTGCCTGTAAGATCTCCTTGGATACACCCTCCAATCACACTCTACTTGGACCACTGCATAGATCCTACAGGCCTTGATATCTGAGTGTCTGAGCTCTTGGCTTCGTTCTGGATCAAGGGCTCTCCCCAGCCCTTAACGTCGTCTTCATTGGGGTGTAGTATAGTAAGACAGCATTATAAGCCATATGTTTAATGCCATGTAAACATGGCAAGCATCTAGGTACATGCATGTGTTCTCAGCCTCTGTTCAAGGACATAATCTCTTGTTCCCTTTAGAGCCCACCTCACCACCATTGAAGGTCTTCCTATCCTTGTTGACTGACTTCTAGCTACTCATGATGGGAGTCTTGACAGTGGCTCCCTAACCAAGTAACCATCTTGCCAATTTTCATTTTCTCTCTTGAGTCTTTCCTCTTTCCCATGAGTCTCATTCACTCAACACCTGTTCTTGGGGAGTCAATATAAAGACAGAGTTTCAAACAGCAGTAGCCAGTAGTAAGTGGCCCTTCAATAATATGCTTACACTAATAGGGAAGATCACGTGGTTCTTTCAGGTACCCCAGGTTTTCCTTCGAGGCAGTTTGAAGTACTTTCTAGGAGAGCTGAAAATGGTGATGTGAGTCCTTCTGCAGTCAAAACCCTGGGAATGTAAAAGATGCAGAGCTTTGGTAGGAGGTGGCTGTTTGAATCACTGGTCCTTGTAGGTTCAGGGCTGCCAATACCACGACTCTCCTGAAGAACATGCTGTTTGGCAGTGAGGGATACATGGTCATCTGTAATACCCTCATTCATAGTTACCTTAGCTTGAGGTGTGTTCATACAGGAGGCCAGCGTAGAAGCCCCAAACTGTTCTGGTTTCCACTCAATCAGAATAGGTAGATATTTAAACAGTTCCCACCTATGCTCCTAAGCTTGTTCACTGTTTGCAGAGAGATGCCCTCTGGAGCAACAGAGGGATTTGGGTCGGGGAGTCAGGTACTGCCTATTTGCCACAGCCTCCAGTTGTGAGGAACTAGAACCAGGGAGCAACTGTCCTTGCATGGTTGTGAAGATGAGTGTTACCTACCTGGCAAGTACCTGTGAATGCTCAGTAGTTCTAAAATCAATCTAAGCATTCGAATCACCGGGGGACTTATTTGAAAAGCTCAAACACCTCCACCTTTATATTTTCTAGCTGGAAACCTGGCTTCTGTATTTCATTTTCTCATTTAAATTTTTAATTTTTGAGAATTTCATATATGAATAACTGTATTCACATAATTTCTCTCTCTCTTTCTCCTCCTCCAACTCCTCCTGTATGTATCCCACTCCCTGTCAAATGCATGACTTCTTCAATTACTGTTGTTACATATAAACACCCATGTATATATACATTTGTATATATAAATACAACCTGCAGAGTCCACTTAGTGCTAATTGGAAGTTATACACATGAAATATCAACAATATGATCACCTAAACAAGACTAACACACCAGTTGACATTCTAACATGATGGGTGAGCACCCCCAGATCAAGAGTTACAGGTAATTAATGTCTCCTGAAAGAGATTCAGTGTATTCCAGGGGAAACTCTCTGAGATCAAATCCCAAGTTGTCAGCCCTAAACACATACATGTATGACTTCTGTATTTCTAACAAATATCTCTGAAAATTCTCCCAGACCTGGTAGTATCCATGAGACCTCTGGGATTTGATATGTTGCTCTTTGAAGCTATGTGATAAGTCATTTGTTCTTCCAAAAGGCTCCACAATTTGGAACACACAAATATTCTCCACAATTTGTCTGATAATTTTTTTTTGAAGAAGGGTCATCTTCATATACTCAACTTGCCCTCACAGTGTATAATAGATACTATAACCCAATCTCTGAATTGAAATATCCATTTTCTATCTGCCTTAGCTTTGGTATGGTCCATGATGGAGAAGGGAATATGTGCAAAAAGTCTGAGGGCAACATAATGTCCCCAACACTGGCAGGACGCAATGGCGTCTTCTCCTGGTCCTCCTGCAGCCGTCAGTACCTGCACAAGTTTCTAAGGTATGGATCCCTCGAGCTGGCTTTGTGCTCATTATGAACTGGGCAGGGGGGTGGCTTTTTCTTTTTTTCACATCAACATTCTTGATTATTTTACATTTTTATGTGTTTTTTATTATAAAATTTATTTGTTTGACAATTTTATACATGTATATAAAATGTATTTTCATCATTTACACCCCCATTATCCCTTCTCATCCCCTCCCACTTACACCAGTCCATTCCTTCTCCCCAAGTCCCCCAGTCTCTGTCTGTCTGTCTGTCTGTCTGTCTCTCTCTCTCTCTCCCTCTCTCGTGTGTGTGTGTGTGCATTTGTATAAGTGTAGGTAAGTGTAGGGTTGGGGGGTAAACACAGGTATGAGGGCCCAAGGCTGACATCAAGTATAATTCTTCAATTGGTCCATTGCTTCCTACCTTTATTTTTTTTTTTTTTGAGACAAACTTTCTTCTTGAACCTGACATTGAGGTTTGACTATGTTGGAATGCCAGTGAGCTACAGGGATCTGTCAGCCTTCTAGTCCCTTGCTATTCACCCTACAAGGTTGGGGTTACAGACACCTGTTGTTTACCTGGTTTTGCATGAAGGATGTGGGGATCTGAATTCAGGTGCTTGCCTTCTGTGTCTGGCAGTTTCCAATTACGCAATCTCCCCAGCCCCCCACATCCCTTCTGTTTCTGGTTTATTTTCTTATTACTTTAATTTTGTGACCCATTGAGTTTAATTGGGGTGGGTTCTATTTGCAAGAGTGGGGGTTACTTATTGGAGCATGGGTAAGTTAATAGTGGCTATACCGAGAAAACTTATTTTCTCTTCCAACAGTGATCCTTAAGTGGCTATGGGTCCTTAGAGATAGCTGAGACTCCATGTTGGGATGTCAACGGGTCTGTCTTGTCTTGTGCAGAGAACCAAAGTTCCTATGAGTTTATGAATGCAATAGCCATGCCATTCCCAAAGGACATGAGTGTTTCATAACAACCCACCTCCCTCCCACACCCTACATGCCCAGGCTCTTAGATTCTTTCTGCACCCTCTTCTACTTAGAGTGGATGATGTTGACATCCCATTCAGAGCTGAGCATCCACAGCCACTTGTTCTCAGACTTAGACCAGTGTAAGGCTCTTGCTCACTGCTGCCATGTTAAACAAGGTGAGAGCAGCTTTGATTGGCCTCTCATCTGGATTCCTTCTCTTCACTGAGAGTTCCCTGTGATCTCCCTTCCACACTGGGGGCTGGTTGAAGTGTCTTTAACTCTTTCTTGCAATTATTCATCTTTTTCTGGTCTGAGTGAAACTTTCTGTAATGAGGAAGAGTTTTTCTCTTTAATGTGTCTCTGCACTTATTTATATTAACAGGGGAGATTTGGAGTTTCTTTTCTCAAAAGCATTTCCATAATTTTCTTGGTTCTTGTTCTAAATTTTACAGAGCTCTCTTTCATCTCAATGTCTATGAGACACATATCTCAACATTTTTAGAATTTTAAATTATAGTCTGACAACTTGGAAAATTAGAGGATGAAAATTTGGGTATGTAGTAATAATGTGCATCATTGAGAGGGCCAAAAGCAAGGATACAGATTCATCACAAGGAAACCATTGCCCAGTCACAGAAAAGTCATCTGAGGACATTAGAAGTGTGCCTGCAATCTTCAAATCAGAATGTGGCTCTCAAAATTAGTATTAAGATTCTAGAATTAAAATTCAGTTTTGTTCAGCAATACTGAAAGAGGAAAATTAGATGCTGAACTATGCTGGTTTGGTTTTATGGTAATCAACAAAATGTTTTTCAGTGATTTTGTAATGAAACTATCTTCAGGGACTTTACTAATTTGTAGATTTTGTAATTAAAAATAAGCATGCAATATTTTGTACCGTCTTTTTTTTATGTCAAACTTTCCAAGAGAGCATCTCATTGTCAAATCACTGTGAAAATTCATTTAAATTGAGAGCATAGTTTCAAATGGGACAGGTTCACATGTGTGAAACCTAGAGTTTTCAGTCTTGAGGAACTGGAGGCGGCCTGTCTGCCTGGTGTGGTTGCTGGCTTCCTGGTTTCCACATAGTCAAAACAGTGTTCTATCCTCCACCAATTAGGTAGCTGTTGGGATGCAGTCCCAGCCATGAGTAAGCTGCTGCTGCTGCCCTCCATCAGCAGCCCAGCATGTGGGAAATGGAAAAACACATACTAAAGGAACCTGATGGGCCTGGGGTGGCCAGCAAGGCTTTTCTCCATTCTAGGTGGAGTCCAGAAGGACAGAGACTTGTTTGGAGAAATTCACTCAGTGAAGTCATGTGTCATTTACCATGAATACACACAGTTCTTCAATTACTCATGTCTGAATACAGGAGTCAGTGACCCAGGGAGACTCTAGCCTGTTGTGTTGCATTTCATAACACAGACTCATCTTTTTTTTTTTTTCTTCATTTGGAATCTTGCCTCATAGACCAATGCCTATGCCTACCCTCTCACCAGCGTGAGTCTGTGAATTGAGTGCATAATGCATTGGGAAGGAAGCACCTTGAGGAACTGGAGATGTGAAGGGGAGTGGATTCCCCTGTCAAACTCCTACCACTCTGTGGGTGAGGAAATGGGATTCCCACTGAGAGACCATTGGGATGCTTTCCTTTTCTATTGTATCCAGAAGCTTTCTAGTGTTCACCTTGAGGAATGCTAGCCAGGGCTGACATTGGTGCTGAAGACATGAGACGAGGAAGCAGGGACCACCATGTAGGGAAAGAAAAATAGAGGGATAATGGTTAGTGAACCACTGAGTCACATCATTACTGTCTGTCTGTGTATGGTACTAGGACAGAAATAATGTTATGAAAACAATGGCTGAGGCCAGAGACAGCATGAGGGCGTTTCAAAATCCTTCCCTGCTCAAATGACTGCAACATATAATGTAAAGAGCTTGATATCATTCAGCTCAGTCACAATCCATCATTTTCCAAGTGAGAAAGTGGGAGATCTCAGAAAACGTTATCTGCTGACACAGATGCCTTTGAGAGGTGGGTTTAGATAAATAAATGTTGCTCTGCTTACTAACTCTTATCTTTTTTACAAAGTTGAAGGGATTTTCTTTTCCTCCTAGTTTTCTAGGAATGGGTGTCAGATTTTACTATATGTCTTTCTTGCATCTATTGATGTCATGTGACATCGACAAAGTGCATTATGGCAACTGACTTTCAATGTTTTAAAATTTTTAATTGTTATTTTATGTGCAAGTGTGTTTTGCCTGCATGTATGTATATGTATCATACGAATGCCCAATACCCACAGAGGCCAAAAGAGATGTTAGATTCCTTGGAACTGGAGTTACAGACAGTTGTGAGCCACTGGAAGTAAACCCAGATCCTGTGGAGAAGTAAACAGTACTCTTAAATATTGAGTTATCTCCCCAGCATGCCCTCCCAACTGACTCTTGAATGTTGAATTAGGATTGAGCCCATATGGCTGTGCTATATGTTATATTTTTGAACCTAGGATTCAGTTTACTTGGCTGTGGTATATAACTTATTTTATGTATTTATGAACTCTTCATTAATGTTTTGTTACAGACTTTTGCAACTATCTTCGTGACAGATTTCTGTCTGTAGTTTTCTCTAATATCTTCCTCTGGGCTTGGTTTTGGGTAGTGCTGACCTCACAGACTTGGTTTTGCCCCCATATTCTGAAGAGATTGGGGAGAGCCATGGTACTTTACCCACAATGCTTGGTGGAATCCACAGTAAGCCCTTTGGGACTATACACTACCTTTGATGCAGACTGATGAGCTACAAGGTGTGGAACTGGAAGTAACATTAAGAAGAGTACAGCCAAAGTTCTCCCAGTCAGGGATTCAGTCTGTGGTGATTATAGCATTTGGGTTTAGTAAGATGTTTAGAGAAATGTGGGCTCTTGGAACTCATAGGAATGACTTATTTGCTACTTGCAAGCATAAAACTATAAAACACTCACTGCAAATGAACAAATTATGCCAGGTGTTCTGGACTTGGACATTTACCCAGTAACCATCTTGCATACAGATGATGGCTACTGGAAATTCAGTCCTTGAAGAAGAAGCTGTAGATGTGGTGTAGGTACCCCTCAGCCAGGGCAGAAGTGGAGGGAGAGAAGAGAAGGGAAGGAAAGATAAGAAGAGAGGGATGGAGGAAAAGAAGGATGGAACAGAAAGGAAGGGAAGGGGAGGAAGTGAGTTGGCATATCTGAGATAGTTTGATTATGATTTGATTTTCACGGCAATTTCTGTAGTCCAACTGTTTCTGGCAAGAAGTGTGTGTAAGTGTTTCTGTGGTAGAAACTCTCACATTAAACATCTGGTTGCAATTACTCAGTTTCATTTTCCTTGATGATAAGCTTGGGATAGCTAAGGAAGAGCAATTTGTCTTAGATAGGTAAAATATTTTATGAATAATTTCAGGAAAATGTGGCTTCTGTATTGAAATAGGATTAAGAAAGATATTGTGCTGAACTTGGAGGGAAAGAGAATAAGCTTCTCTACACAAAATGTGTCATCAGATTGCACGAGGAAGGATGTATATCCCTCGATAACTCTTCCTGTTTGCTTCAGCACTGCCCAAGCGATATGCCTTGCTGATCAGCCGAAGCCTGTGAAAGAGTACAAATACCCTGAGAAGCTGCCGGGACAGTTGTACGATGCGAACACACAGTGCAAGTGGCAATTTGGAGAGAAAGCCAAGCTCTGCATGCTGGACTTCAGGAAGGCAAGTGGTTGCTGTCACATGCTCACTACACCATGATTCATAAAATCGTTTTATTTAGTGTAACTGACAGTGATGTATTCCACATTTATTGGGCACCTACCAAATGTCAAATCCTATATGCCGGGACTGGCCCCGATGTAACAGGGAACACATGCTTTGCTGGCAGAGCCGATGAGGGTAGATACTGCTGTGGGTATCAGCTTTCGTTTCAAAGCTGACTTGGCTTGTTAGGTCAGATCTTTCTTTCTGATTTATCATGTGGGAGCACAGTAATAACTTTTAGTTGGTTTAAGTTGGCAAATTCATACTCTGCATTGTATTAAAAAAACAGTGTTTCCCCACCCCCATCCCAACATGAGCACAGTCTACTGGAAGGCGACAGTACATCACGGGGCTTCTGACTATTGAGTTTCCCAAGTAAAGTATTTATAGAGCAGTTCCTCACAAAAGGTGATGCCTCTGCAGCCCTGGGGATGTCTCTTCGGAGATTTCCTGCATAAATCCTTCACAGAGCACAGATACACACTCTGACTAGACAGGGAGCGTCCAGATTTTAGGAATTTGCTCTACTTAAAACCACAAGGAAAGCTACTCATAAATCAAATGAAAGTAACTAGTTTTGAGGTTTCTTTTATTCTAGTTTATAATGAAATCAAGAATAAAATACACAAAAATATGTGCAGGCTTCCAGAGAGCCCTCAGCACTTCAGAAGTGTTAGTAATGCCCCTGCCTCTTTTCTATCCAGCACAATCATCTCCTGAACTCAGCTGGGGTTCTCCTAAAGGCCAGTTGCCCTTTTGTGGGAAATACCAAGAATTTTTTCCCCTACATTACTCTTATATTTGTTAAAGGGATAAGCATATAAAACTAAAGTTTTGTTTAAAGCTTCGACTTTCCAGACTGAGCTTCCAGGCTCCATGCTGTTAACTTTGAGACTATGCACCACACCATCAATGGTATCCCAATGCCATTCACAAAGTATCAACAACACCAAGCTAACTGTAGGTTGGCTGTCTATTATTGATGAAATAGTTACATGGGGTGAAAGGAAATCACTTTAACTCCAATTTGTTACAGAATATGCATGGCCCTTATCAGCATCCCAAACAAGGTGTTTGCTTAAACAAGCCTCAGGCATTGGGACATCAGTTCCAAGCATATTTACTGTTCAACAAAACCCACCTCTGTCTGACGATATTGCTTTCGTCTTTGACCTCCCTGGTGCTGTCTGTTTCAGCAATTCGATAGAGAGGGGCCGAAAACCTCCCACAATGCCCCTTTGCATCTCCATTTCTCCTCCTAATTTTACTTCTGCTAGCTGCTGCTTTGTGTAGCCAGAAACTCTGGCAATAAGTGCATATTTGGTGAGAATTCTGTGTATCCTTGACTCCTGAGTGGATGGATCAGTGAACGGGTAGATGGAAGCATGGATAATCAGATGCATGCATGCATTAATGCATGCATACACAGGTGAATAGATGGATGGATACGCCAACAATGTCTTGATCATTGTTAGTTCAAAAATCGGAGAGTAGGCACAGTGCTAAGTACCAATGGTTTCAGATATTCAGGAATCTGAGGTAGGAGGTTCATTTGATCCTGGGGGTTCAGGGACAGCCTGAATAACAGAACAAGACTTTGACTCCAAATATAAAGGAATTAATAAAGAAAGAATAAAAACAACTTTTCCTATGTGAGGAAGTTAGTGGGAATTGAGTTGGAGAAGAATATATAAAATGTTATTTGGATTTTTTAAATTACATTTTTATGTGTTTCCTTAATGCCTAGATTAACCCTATGTTTACCTTATGTGATCTGCAGATTTCATGATTGCATAAATACAAATTGTAGCATGAATCTTAAAAGTTCTTATTAATAAAAACAAACCTGGAGCCAGGTATTGGGGTAAATGCTGGAAGATCAGAAAAGCAGAACAAGCCACAGCTACCTCACCTCACCAGTTCCTCAGCTGATCCTGTTTCCTCAGACTGGAAACCTCTGAGTCCTCATCCAGAATGAATCTCAGCTGAACTGTAACTCAAAAGCCTTAAAAGCTTAACCAGCCAAATGCTTCTAGTTTCTGGTCTTCATGCCTTATATATCTTTCTGTCTTCTACCATCACTCCCTGGAATTAAAGGCGTGTGTCACCATGCCTAGCTGTTTCCAATGTGGCCTTGAACTCACAGAGATCCAGAGGGATTTCTGCCTCTGGAATGCTAGGATTAAAGGCGTGTGCTACCACTGCCTATTCTCTATATTTAATATTGTGGCTGTCCTGTTCTCTGACCCCAGATAAGTTTATTAGCGTGCGCAATATTTTGGGGAACACAATACCACCATAACAAATAGTAAAGTTGCATGGCTGCAATTCGGAGGAATTCGGAGGAGTGGAGGCCAGGGTGCAGGTTTTCTGGCTTCTTCTTGACTTTTCCTCCCTGTGGCTGAGGGGACGTCCACTCCCACTTCCTGACAGATTTGGGATTTTGTCACAGATGTGTAGTGCATTTGCAACACTAATGGCTTCTCCTCCTTTAGGATATCTGTAAGGCCTTGTGGTGCCATCGGATTGGAAGGAAATGTGAAACTAAGTTCATGCCAGCTGCAGAGGGTACCCAGTGTGGGCAGGACATGGTAAGGTGCTGCCTCCAGCAGCGTTCTCTACTCAGACCTCAATCTTGCAACCCACACACCCTTCCTTCTCTTACACTGGCATTTGAAAACCAGTATTTCTTATACGCATGTGCACACCTACGTCCTTGCTAAAACACTGTAACTCTTCTATGCTGACATCTTTATTAGTAAGTTATATAGAATTAGTAGACTGAGCAGTCAGACAGTAGGTGACCACTGGATGGACTCCATGAAGGGAAAGACAAACACCCAATCCCCAGCCAAGGAAGGACCAGTTTCAGTTTGCTTTGGCCTCAAAGATATTGGTGAAAAACCAAAACATACGTTCAGATTGAAGCACTACAAGGAAGAAGGAGGTGAACTTCCTGAGACTAGCATCCAATATCCACTCAGTCTAACAGACTTTTAATCAGCTGTGTAGCTGAGTCCCTCAATGGAAGTGAAACTCACAACTGGCAGTTAAACAGTTCTAGTGATCCAAGCAGCTGCCACTCAATTGACTCACGGTAAAAGTCTCACAAAAAGCATTAGTTTCTTGAATGAGCCCGTGAATAAAAGGAAGCACTGGCTGTGGAACTTTCAATTGTCAAAGACCCTTGTGTAGCGTTTCCAGGTATTCAAGTGCAGGTGACCACACATAAACATGACAGTGAGTACCAGTGGTAATGGGACATAAGGGACACAACCATGCCTTTCTTCGGAAAGATGTGTGTCCTGTCTATTGCCGCACTGAGTTGTCCTTCACACTAGACACGGAGTTGCATCCCAGACACTCTGTGCTCTTTATAGCAAATACTGTCCTTTCTGGGTAATACAGCTGTTGTGTTCCTTCAATATAACTTGTATGTTCTTGCTACATTTTATTTAGCTTAAAAGTTCATTCATTTTCAATAATATTTTATGTTATTTTCCCTTGCATTTTAAATACTGCCTTTTCCCCACTTCATGTTTGGAAGAAGTAGTCAGTTCGGCTGAAGTGGTTTCTTGAGAGTTAGAATGCCGAAGCACAGGCTGGATCAACAGTGTTGTGCCCAAGACCCCATGGTGCCTTGTGCTGGTGACGTTTCTGTTACTGTAATAAAAGACCCTGACCAAAAGCAGCTTAGCTCATATTTCCAGGTGAGAGTCCATCAGAGCATGAGAGTTAACACAACAGTCCCCGAAAACAGCTGGTCACGTGAGGTCCACAGTCAACGGCAGAGAGATGATTGTATGCATTTCTGATACTCAGCTTGCTTTCTCTGCTCTTACAGAATATAGGGCCCACAGTCAGGGACTGGCATCTCCCACAAACAGACATGGCCACAGGCCAACATGGAACAGACCATCTCCCACGGACAGACGTGGCCACAGACTGACAGGGTACAGACCGTCTCCCGCAGACAGACATGGCCACAGACTGACAGGGTACAGACCATCTCCCGCAGACAGACGTGGCCACAGGCTGACAGGGTACAGACCATCTCCCACAGACAGACATGGCCACAGGCTGACAGGGTATAGACCATCATCTCCCACAGATATGGCCACAGGCTGACGTGGTACATCGAAACTCTTCTCAGATGATTGTAGATTGTGTTGAACAGCAAAGATGGGATGCTTTCTTTTCCTTGCACTCCCACAGGAAACTGGCCCCACCCCTGAAGCTTTTCAAGTGCTGGCTTCAAGAACATGATGTACCTTTATCCGTGCACACTTGAAATGTTCCATTTAAAAATTTGTTTTAATTAAAAAGGAGACAGAAAGCTTTTACAATGTCACCACCCATTTTCAATATGTAGAGTCAACCAGGACATAGTGCGTATGCAGGAGTGCTGTGATCCACAGCAAGATGGGCTGCAGGCACCAGGAAATGCTGCGCTTCTCCCATGCAGCACGCTCCTTGCTTGGGAGACAGGCCTGATCCTTTGCTCACCTGCCTTGCTCAGGAGCTCCAATCTCGTCTTCATACTAAGACGGGCCTGCCTGAAATATCCTCAAGGTGGTCAACCTGCTGATTCTGGCTTTCACGTTTGCTACTCCCTGTATGGGAAGGCTTAAACCAGTTGGTTTTAAAACTGAGTAAAACCAGCAGCAAACACACCTGACCTCTTTCTTCTCCCACCAGGGGCCCATCCAAGGGTACCACACCTTGGCCTGGCTCCTCTCCCTTTAGTCTTTCACCTGGGATGGGGGTGTCTGAGAGTGGGAATCCTGTTTGTTCCCAGCTCCAGGAACCTCAGTGAGCAGAGGTATCTCTTAGAACTTTGTTTTGTCATGTGGAATGAAAGCAGATGGTGAATCAAGAGAAAGATTTTTCTTTTCTGTATAGAGAAAAATATAAAGAACTACATGGAGGAGATTTTTGAAATTATTTGCTTTTTATATATTTTTGATTAAAATATAATTTCATCACTTTTTCCTTTCACTTTCCTGCCCCCAGCTCCTCACAATACTTTTCTCCAACTCCTTCCATGTTCCTCTCACTCTCAAATTGGTAGCCTCTTCTCCCTAATTAGTATTGTTTTTACATATATATTTATATATGTAATACAATTTATATAACATAAATATATAGAATGCATGTATATATGCACAAATATACAAATATAACCTGCTGAGCCCATTTTTATTGTGTGTGTGCATTTTGTTTCAAGGCCAATCACTCTGTATTGGATGACAAATTAGGGGCCTCATCCCTGGGAGAGACTAACTCTCCTTCTCCTGCCATTAGTTCCTTGTCTAGTGGTTGGGCCCTGTGAGATTGTCTCCTTTCCACGTTTTCATGTGTATTGATTTTGTCATTGGTCAGATATTGTTTCTGCAGCCATTTCTACAGGACAGTGTTTCACAGCAGACTTCTTGGCATTCTGGCTCTCACCTTCTTTCTGTTCCCTCTTTTGAGAAGTCTCCTGAGCCTTAAATGCAAGAGCTGTGATGTAGGTGTGTCCCCTGAGACACAGCCCCATAATTGATTTATCTCGGCATTGGGCCCACTCCTGGCTTTCTGTGGTGTCTCCATTTACTGTAGAGAGGCTTCTTTGATGAGGGGAGATAGCTCTACCTATCCATGGGCGTGAAGAGAGGATGGAGAATGCAGTTAGGAACTGAACTGCTCTAACAGAGAGGGGTAGGTTCTCTCCCAGGACCCACGACCTCATTAGCACCAGGGAGTTGTCTAGGTTTCTAGTACCACACGTCTTTTCTTCCTGTTGAAAGGGGCATAGGTCCAGTTAGACTGCTGCTGGTTACCACCAACGTATGAGTGGCATCTACTGCACCTTTACTAATATCTCATCATGTTGAGCATTATTGTGGCATCACAGCTGGGTGCCATGTTGGTCAATGTTGTTATGGTGTCACAGCTGGGTGCCATGTTGTCACTGTTGTTATGGTGTCACAGCTGGGTACCATGTTGTCACTGTTGTTATGGTGTCACAGCGGGGTGCCCTGTTGGTGACTGTTGTGATATCACAGCTAGGTGCCATGTTGGTCAATATTATGGTGTCATAGCTGGGTACCATGTTGGTCACTGCTGTGGTGTCAGAACCAGGTACAACTGTCAGTTTTCCTCCCTTAGCATCTGGCATAGGATTTTCTGACACCGTGGAATCTAGATAGCAGAGAGACTTCCGAGTCAGATCCAGCTTAACTTATCAAAGTCCCGTATCCTAAGTATGTAGTGTCTTCGGCAACAGGGTCTCATCTTCAACATCTGAGAATCAGCTATTGGCAGCTGCCACATTTTGTATTGTTTGGAGAGTCATTTGGACTACCCTGGCCAACCATTCTAGTGCCTGGTACTGAGGGTTCTGTTAGTCTATGGCTTCTGGGGAGAGCATTGTCAACCTTGGTGGCATAATTTCCCTTAAGCTTCACACCACACACACACACACACACACACACACACACACAGAGAGAGAGAGAGAGAAAGAGAGAGAGAGAGAGAGAGAGAGAGAGAGAGAGAGAGAGATGCATGTATGTATGTATTATGAATATGTGTATATATACATACATATATGCATATGTATTGTGTGTGATTTTAGGTCAATATAAAATAACATGATTCCTTGAGGCTTTATCAAACAACCCTGGTATTTTCTGTCCCTCTTCCCCCTTCTCCTTCTGTATTGACCTCCTTTGAGTCCCTGAGTCCCTGTCCCCATTTTTCCACTTCCTGCTCCATCTTATGTGTATCCTGATATTTCTTAAACACCGATTGAAACCATTTCCGCATATCAACAACAGTCAGATGTCAGTAGTTCATTTGATGTGTTTTACCCATGCACCAAAAATAGGTGATCGAAATGGTATGCACCAGAAATAGGTGATCGAAATGGTGTCACTTTCCTTTTTCAGAAGTAGCATTACTTTCTCTCAATGCCAAGCTATTGGCTTTTATCCTAGAGATGGCTGTGTGACATGCACCTACTGCTCATGAACCAGGATCTGTTTTTGTTTTTTTTTGTTGTTGTTTGTTTTTTTTTTTAATGCAGACAGAAAAAGATAAGGCATTTGTCTTCCCTCTTCTTAATAGATATCCTGAATCACTGTGCTCCTTGAGGTTAAGGTCATACTAATACTACAGGAAGTTCCAGAGCACAGAATCAAAAAGTAGCAATGTGTGTGTTTGTGTGTGTGTGTGTGTGTGTGTGTGTGTGTGTGTGTGTGTGTGTGAGAGAGAGAGAGAGAGAGAGAGAGAGAGAGATGGAGGTGAAGGTGCCATATGGAGTTCAGTGGGAATTGAGATCAGTGAGTCATTCTTTTACAAAGGGGGAGCTGGTAGCATCCATCCATAGTCCTCATGGGAAGAGATGGGATTCCTGAGCAATTGCCTCATCTCTGCAGAAAGCTGGGTGACATCTAACCTGCCCTAAATGAACAAGTTGGCTTCCCTGAGCCCAGGTGTTTTATATTAAAATCCAGGGGCTGACCAGAAATGACAAGGTGCTGAGTCCCAGGTCTCTTCCAGCTGGACTTTTCTACCTGAGACTCTCTTTGCAATGCAAGATGGGAAAAGAACGTTTGTTTTTAGAAGTCAAGGGTCATGACTTCAGAGATGAGTAATCAGACCAGATGCTCATTTCAATTTTTCACTTCTGTCTGCAGAGCTCAGGCTTCTGCTGTGACCGACCCCTGCATTTTCCCTTTACAGGGATTCACCAGGTGGTGCTGGGTTTGGAAAGATAAATGAAGAAACACTAAATGTGACTTTAGTGGATATCACTTTGAGTGTAGAGATGCCAATGTTTGCATATTTTACAAGACACCTTCCCCTTGATGTTACAAGAGAAATGAATCCAACTATGCGGGACTCATGTAAATTATTTTAAATTTATGTTTAAAATATTTAGTGGTGTCGTGGAGGACAGTGTGTGAAGTATGGTGATGAGGGCCCCAAGCCTACCCATGGCCATTGGTCAGATTGGTCCCCCTGGTCCCCCTGCTCCCGGACCTGTGGGGGAGGAGTATCTCACAGAGACCGTCTCTGTACCAATCCCAGGTATGTATATGACCTGCTTCCTTCCTTCCGAATGGGCCTTCCCACAGCATCCAAGTTTGTTAATACCAGCACTATAACTTACACAATGTTGCAGAGAACACTAAGGGGAATTTCACTCCATTCTGTAGCGGTAATTAATGAGGCAGTTCCACATAGTTTATCTGGTAATTAAAAGAGGTTTATTTCAGGGGTAACTCACAACCCATAAGGGGTTGATTACAGGATCTGGGAGAGATGAGGTACAGTCCAGCATAGTTCTCTGGAGAACTCTGACTTGGTCTACAGTCCAGCCTCCAAGACCATGAGGAGTTAAGAGAGCAATCACATGTGCATCTCGGGTCTTAAAGGGTCTCCTCTGGGCCACGCCCCAGGGGCAGGTCATCGGTAGCTGTGGCAGTTACTTGCTGCCACACTAGGGGCAGTGCTTCAAGGTCAAAGCTGAAACAGCTACCCACTACACCATTCCCTAAACAATTTTCTCTCTTTCATGTGGTTTATGATGCTTACCACTTCCTGACTCCCAGTAAAATATAACAGAGCCAGCAGGGTCGGGGCAGAACTGAGTTTTAACTACATGGCTTGAAATTAAGATGCTATCTAACTGGCTACTTTATTTAAAGAAAAAGGAAATAGAATGCGAATCAAAAACTCCAATAAAAACAATTCTTTCATGAAAGAAAAAAAACATTGCTTTTTCATCAAATATATTCACTTTTACAACAAGCAGACTAACTACAAGGACTAGACAGAGAGAGACAGTCACCTAGCCAGGGACATAAAGGGCTCTCTGGCTTGTTTTAGAAATAAGTCATGTTACGCTGTTGCTCTTATCTGTAAAGCATGAGGCCCCAAAGTCGCCAAAATCACTCCACTGTTCTCTTGAGTGTGCCTACCCAGGCTCATGGAGACTCTCCAGAAACCAGCAGGCTGTCCAGTGATCCTTTGACTTGGCCCACAGGCCTAATGTCCTGGCCTTGTCACAAGGGATCTGGCAGTAGGAAGAAGAGGATGTCGACTTTCTGCCTCGGTATCTCACTCTGACTGGGGCATCCTGGAAAGCCAACCTCATTCTCAGCAGCAAACCTACCCACCTATAGTGTATGAAGAGCAGCTCACTTTCTGCCTCCTCCAGAGGATGCTGGAGGACAAGGAACAAGTACACACAAGCCTGAATCTTGAACTCCACCTTGTCCTCCAGCATCAGGACCATAACACTCAGGATGGATTCAGGATGCTTCCCTTCACTGCCCACCCTAAGCAGTTGATACTATCAGCTATGTCACCCCCGTAAACATGACGTCCAGGGAGAGCTGATCTCTGGCTATGATGTGCATTCCAGACCGTCTCATGGAGGGAAGTTCTGCCAAGGCTCCACACGCATGCTGAAGCTTTGCAACAGTCAGAAATGCCCCCTGAACAGTGTAGACTTCCGTGCTGCCCAGTGTGCCGAGTACAACAGCAAGCATTTCCGAGGGTGGCTGTACAAGTGGAAGCCTTACACCCAAGTGGAAGGTAAGTTTCCAGTCCCACTCTGTAGGGTGTCCCATGTTTCATTACCTGTGTTTAATACATCATATATTAGCACTGCCATGTTCAAACAAACAGATACTATAGACCTGGGAGCCCATCGTAACATTCTTTTTTTAGGGGACTGGTTTGATCTGGCCTACCCCACTGCCATTGCATATTACCTGCACTTGACCCATAGCCAGAAGTCCACAGGCCAAATACGTTAAATGAGTAGTTATTAAAAATCAATAATGACTGTATTTAATGCTGATGTTATCACAAAAACACCATCCACTACATACTTAAATATTAAAAGCTAAAAGAAAATTATAGTATGCTTTATAGAAAATGAATAATTTTTCAAGTATACTAAAGCAATAAAATCTTATTCTATAACTACACAATAAGAAATTTATTCATGGAGTGAATTAGATTCACAGTGACCATTAGGAGAGACGTGAGCAAGGTGTTATGGTATAGTAGCTAAAACTATAAAAAATGTTGTTAGTTCAAGAGGCATGGTTCGAGTTTATTTAAAGAACATCTAATTATCTCACTACTTGAAACTGAGAATTCTGTCCAGGCAAGTGGCAGATGTCCAGAGGAAGTACAAAAGCAGAGATGTTCCATGTGGCTATGTATCCATCATTTCAGTAGTGGGTTTTGAAATTACTCAGCCCTATGTAGGGAGTTGCAAGCAGTCTCCCACAAAGCAGATTTAGTTTGAATCTTATGTATAAACTGTAAAACTAGAGCCCATGATAAACAGCAGCCAGAAGAAACACAGTCTATGGGAGTTGAGAGAAACAGCACTGACCTGTGACAGGGTGAAATGTGTGTGCTACCCCTGACTATGATAGTCTGTGAAAATAATCATATTAAGCACATGCAAATTTTATTTTTAAAATCCTTAGGTAATTCTCCCATCTTAAAAAACAGCACAAGAATCTGTGAGTGAGTCTTAGACCTGAGAAAATTCCCAAGGCGGTGAGGCTTCCAGAGTCAGCTGTCCTGATTTTATCCAGAGGAAGGAGAGGTCCCTAGACCTGAGAAAATTCCCAAGATGGTGTGGCTTCCAGAGTCAGCTGTCCTGATTTTATCCAGACGAAAGAGAGAAGGTCCCTATGAAAGCTTCAGTTAGACATGTGCTCTGCAGAGCCTTGAAGCCTGAGATATTTCAGATCCCTGGGGTCCTACCAGCATTCCCACAGAACACATTGTACCCTGGAGTTTCCGTTCAACACTTCTTCTATCAGTTTAAAGACAAAGCTTAATGTTTATTGAATCTTAATTATAAGAATCTTGCCTAGTGTTACCAAACACTCCTGATCAGCTTACAATCCTGTAACTTCGTCTTTACATGATGAATGTTGTAGTCCAGTCAACAAATGCTTGTGGAGTGCCTACTGTGTGCCAACAACTATATAAAGGAACTGTGAGGCAAGGGATCCTAGAGAAAAAATAACAGTGAAACATTAATATATAATAATAATAATAAATTTGAAGGATTTTACCTAAGATAAACATTGAAATTTCTTTGCAAGAACCAGAATGGTGGCATATACCTTTATTTCTGTACTTGGGAGGCAGAGGCAGATAGATCTACGTGAGTCCAAGGCTAGTCAGGGATGCATGGTGAGGCTCTGTCTTAAAAAAAAAAAAAGTCTTTGAAATGTGTTATTGTGTGGGACTTACTTTACGGGGGGAGACAACCAAAGAAAAATCTATCTAAACCTCAGAGCAAAAGTAACCGAGCTTAAGTATCTTTCTCATTTGTGTTTGTGTGTGTATTTCTTTTTAAGATCAGGACTTATGCAAACTCTACTGTATCGCAGAAGGATTTGATTTCTTCTTTTCTTTGTCAAATAAAGTGAAAGATGGGACTCCATGCTCGGAGGATAGCCGTAATGTTTGTATAGATGGGATATGTGAGGTAATAATGATTGCTTATTCATTCAACAAATGTCTCCAGACAGTCTGCTTTGTGCCAGGCATCCTGTAAGGGCTAGAAAGACCAGACATATGAGAGGAGCCCTTTCCCTCCAAGTCCCAGCCCAGGGGGAGAAAGCCAGAAGAGCTCATGTTGATGGCACTGCTTTGTGATTGAGGTGTGTACAGAGCATGAGCAGAGGGGAGAGCTGATTCTCAGATGTGGGTCTGGAGCATTTGTGGGTACCTAGGAGGAGGGAGCATCCACACCTGAGCTCTATCTGGAATGGTGCATTGGAACAAAAGGTTACTGAGAGCAGAGCACAGTAACTTTGGAAAGCCAATGAAGTACCCAAAAGGCAGTGGGGATCTCAAGGTTCTGAGGGCATGAACTAGAACTCACAAAGGGTGACCACTGCCATGTAGATTAGAAATTGGGTTTGGGGATAGCAGATCTACAAGGGGTGCAGTTTCTAGGCAGGGTTATGAGCAATCAGTAGAAGGCGGTCAATTTTCAACTATCATAATGATCTCCACATGATGGACTGTCTAGACCTCAGCGACAACAGGGCAAGAGGAAGCAAACAAATCCAAAACCCAAAAGTCTGGGAAACTAACCCAAAAACCTAGGAGAAAGTTGGGAAACCTGAATTAGCTTGGTGGCATAATCTTCCCTGTTCTCGTGTATAACTGTTGGTGGGCTTTCTTCCTCCCATTTCATGTAGAGATTTGCGGTAGAAATATCAATGTATACTATATAGATCATGGCCTCAAGCCCTGTGGGGACCTATATACATGATAGACTCGACACAGTTGATCTTTCTAAGTTCACACGCAACAACATTACAAAATATGTCTCGCCCTGAGGATTTCCAGCATGGGACTAAGACCATGATTGGTTTATTTCTGAATGGATTTTATTCTTAGACATTCATTGATAGGAAATATGAAATCAGAAAGCATCACAGAAAAAAATGACAAGCTCCTTTAATTATGCAACTTTACACAGATCTAGCTTCTATAAGTCACTGATGGGGAGAATTTCCATGCAGTGTCAATCACTTTCAGTTATAAACCCACTTCAGCAGAGCCTTGTGTGAACACACTGATAGTCATCTTACCAAGTCAGTATTGCTCTGAAATTCACTCCAACAGTCTAGAGCTTTAACTTAAGGCTCAAGGGCTATCACTGGGGATGGATACTACAGAAGACAGATAGCATATGACAAGAAAAAAGATGCCGGGGGCCAGGAGCAACCATGCTGTGTACATACTTGGTATCCAGCACCTATATGTTAACTATTCTGTGTTGGAAACTTGTTCGGCTGGAGTGGGAGGAAGAGTTTGTCACGAGTTTGGTGATGTTGTTCCTTGTATTGTCCTTTTTTTTCATGAATGATTCATGACCTTGTGGGGACTCTAGAAAGTTGGCTGTGACAATGTCCTTGGGTCGGATGCTGCCGAGGACTCCTGTGGGGTCTGCAAGGGGAATAACTCAGACTGCATAATGCACAGGGGACTCTACAGTAAACACCACCGTACCAACCGTGAGTAACTCTGGGTCATGCATTTTCTAGCAAGGGGGCGGGGTGGGTGGTCAGAGCTTTTGTTGGGAGATGCTAAGGAAGAGGAAACAGTGAGTGATTTGAGGCCCTCCATTTCTCTTTCCTTCCGGAGCAGTGGTTTTCAACCTATGGGTTGCAACCTCTTTGGGGATCACTTCAGAACTTCAGAAACACAGATATTTACATTACAATTCATAACAGTAGCAAAATTATAAATACGAAGTAGCAACAAAAATAATTTTATGATTGGGAATCACCGCAACTTGAGGAATTGTATTAAAGGGTCACAGCATTCAGAAGGTTGAGAACCACTGGTGTAGCCAAAAGTTTTCCTGTGTCCTACAGCCACTTGGTCCCAAGTAAATGCACAGAGGCTTATATCAATTACAAACTGTTTAGCCTATGGCTCAGGCTTCTCGTTAACTAGCTCTTACAACTTAATTCAACCCATTTCTATTAATCTATGTTTTCCCATGTGGCTTCGTGGCATTACCTGTGTTCTGTTACATCTTGCTCCCCCAGCAGCGCTCAGCATCTCCTCTGACTCTGCCTTCTTCTCTTTGTCTCTCTGCTTGGATTCCCCACCTGGCTCTATTCTGCCTTGCCATAGGCCATAGCAGTTTCTTTATTAACCAATGGTAGCAACACATATTCACAGCGTACAGAAAGACCATCCCACACCACACTTGTCTGGAGCTTCTGGTTTTATCTGTAAGTGGGTGCTAGGTTCTTTGAATTAAAATGACCTTTAGGAAGATTACAAGACCTGTCCTCCACCTAATGAAAAAGGACACCCAGAGCTAGCAGCAGCGCTAAACATCCCATTATGGAGAAGCTAGGTTCAACTAAATGCTGCATTCCTCTATCCAGAATACTACCAAGTAGTAACCATTCCTTCTGGAGCTCGGAGTATTCACATCTATGAAACGAACATATCTACCTCCTACATTTCTGTGCGCAATTCTCTCAAGAGATATTACCTGAATGGACACTGGAGTGTGGATTGGCCTGGACGATACAAGTTTTCAGGTACCGCCTTCAACTACAGACGGTCCTACAAGGAGCCTGAGAGCTTAACCTCCACTGGACCAACCAACGAAACACTGATTGTGGAGGTAGAGACCAGCTTTTGGTTCTGGGGCTGGATTTGGTGGCCTGGAGCTTTTGTGAGCTTATTGTTGTGCCCCTAATTGCAAGTATGTGGAGGAACTGTAGCTACCAGAAACAGGAGCAATCCATCCAGTGGTCTCAAGGGGGCAGTAGACTTACTGTTATTGTCTTCCCTTGCTTGGTGTATGAGTGTGTACATGTTCTCACCTGTGTTAACTTCTCTGGGTCTTTATCAGCAGATTTTATGGGTGATAGCTGCTTTATTTTAATTAATGTTTTATTTAGCTCACAGACTTACAGGTTTTGTTATAATATGGCTGGCTGTGTGTGTGTTCTTGTGCTTTGTATTCACTCCCTCATTACCCTCTCTTGTCCCTTTTCCCCTCATGTCGTTCTTCATCCATTTGGTGCCCTTCTGATTTAAGGTCATGGTTGGATAGAGAAAGATGATATATAAATAGAGATAGATGATAGATAGATAGATAGATGATGGATGATATAGATAGATGATAGATAGTAGATAGTTGATAGATATTAGATAGATGATAGATGATTAGATAGATAGATGATAGATAGATAGATGATAGACAGATGATATAGATAGATGATAGATGGATGAGATAGATAGATGATAGAAGATAGATGATTAGATAGATAGATGATAGATGATTAGACAGATAGATAGATGACAGATAGATAATGTAGATAGATAGATATAGATAGATAGATGGTAGGTAGGTAGGTAGATAGATGGATGATGGATGATATAGACAGATGATAGAAGATAGATAGATAGATAGATAGATAGATAGATAGATAGATAGATAGATAGGCAGACAGATAGATGATAGATAGATAGACAGATAGAAGATAGATAGATGACAGATAAAAAGATGATAAAAGGTAGGTATTAGGCAGAAATCACATATGAAGATGCTATTTTATCTTTCTTCCTATTCCTGTGTCTTGATTCCCCTCTTTCTCATTTTATGTTTATTCGGTCAGTCCATCATCCTTCTACTTTCATGTCATATATGTGTGTGTGCATGTATTTGTACATCACAGATATGAGAGAAAACATGAATATTTGTCATCCTGAGATGGACTTACTTGTTTGTATTGTGATCTCCAGTTCTATCCATTTTCCTTTCAATAACATAATTTCACTTTTCTTTTTGGCTGAATAAAGCCCCGTTGAGTGTATGGACCACATTGTATGTGTACCACATAGTGTATATACCACATAGTGTATGGACCACACAGTACATGCACCACATAGTGTATATACCACATAGTGCATGTACCACATAGTGTATACACCACATAGTGTATGTACCACATAGTATATGCACCACATAGTGTATGTACCACATAGTATATGTACCACATAGTGTATGTACCACAGTGTATGTACCACAGTGTATGCACCACATAGTGTATGTAACACATAGTGTATGCACCACATAGTGTATGTAACACATAGTGTATGCACCACATAGTGTATGTAACACATAGTGTATGTAACATATAGTGTATGCACCACATAGTGTATGTACCACAGAGTGTATGTACCACATAGTATATATACCACTTGCCCGTGGATGGACAGCTAGACTAATTCCACATCTTGGTCATTGTGGATAGCACTACAATAGCCATGAATGTACATGCGCCATCTCTGTGGTGTGCTGACTTAGATTCCTTTTTTGTATACATCAAGGAGTACTATAGCATGTGGTATTCTAGCATTAGTTCGGTGAGGAAACTTCACACAGCTTTACACAGTGGCTTCGTCACTTTTCTTCCCAACAGCAGTCTCTGAGGGCTCCACTTTATCCATATCCTTGACAATGTTTCTCAAGCATCACTTGTCTTTTTAATGACAGCCATCATCTCACTGCGATGATAAACTTAGAGCAGCTTTAATCTGCATTTCACTGATGCCTAGGGATGCTGGACACTTTCTGGCATTGGTTGGTCATTTGTATATCTTGGTTTTGGTCATTGTCTATTCTGTTCACTGGCTCATATAATGACTGGATGGTCTCTGTTTACAGAATTGGGTTCCGCAGCTCTGTATATGTATTAGATATTAATCACTGACCTGGTGTTTGTGAGCAATGATTTTTCTATCACTTGTCTCCTAAGGATGAGATTGTTTCTTCTGCTATGCTCTTCTTTTATAAATTGATTTTTTCTTATAATGTATTCTGATTAGTTTCCCTCCTTCAACACCTCCCAGATCCTCCCTCCCCTGACCCATGCAATTGCTTAGTTTCTCTCTCACTGGAGAAAAGACATAATAATAATAATAATAATAATAATAATAATAATAATAATAATTTGTTTTGTCCTATTCTGGGTTTTGTTTATTTTATTTGCTGTGCTGTTGTTTTTAATATTGTGCAGTTCCATTCACCAGCTTCTGCTATTTCTTGAGTTATGGAAGCCTTTTTGAACTTTTTATCTACAACTCTATTGTGAACGTAGTCTTTATATTTTCCTCTAGCAATTTCTGAGACCCTGATCTTATAATTAAAGCCTTTGATCCATTTTGTGTTTTCTTTTAAACGAGATGAGATCTGTGAGTCCAGTTTAATTGCTCTACCATGGATACACAGTTTTCCTAGCAGGACTGAAGATGCTGTCTTCTTTCCAATGTATGTTTTGGAAAATTTGTTGAAAGTCAGGACGCTCTATCTGAAAGAGTTTAGTTCATTCTTTATTTTGTTTCATTGGTCTCGATATCCATTTTTTTTCTTACCAGTACCAAGCTGGTTTTGTTACTATGTCTCTGGAATATAGGCTTACAGTAGGAATTGTGATGGCCCCAGTGTCGATCTTTTTGTATGGGTTGTGTTGGCCATCCAGGATGCTTTATGCTCCCTAGTGAGTTTCAGAATTATTTCTCGTATCTCTGTGGAAAATGTCATTGGAATTTTGACAGGAATTTACTGCATCTGTGGATTGCTCTTGATGATATAGCCTTTCTCACACTGTTAATTATGCTGAAACATCAGGTTTTTATGCATTTTAGTTTACTTTTCAATTTCTTTTTAAATTGTTTTGAAGTTTTCTGTATTGAGATCTGTCAGCCACGCAGTTAAGTTTATTCCTCAGAATTCATTTTAAGGGATTATGAATAGATTTGTTTTCCTGACTTCTTTCTTGGCATGCTCACCATTTGGAGAGAACCTACTTCTTTGTGTATATTTTTGTAATAATTTCCATTGGCTTCTGAGGATGGGTTTATTCTGTCTCTTGGCTGATAGGTTTTTTAGGTAACTGTTAAGTTCCTATGATCTGTGGTATGGTATGAGTTTGAATTTTCTTTATTGCTTTTGTTGTGGTCTATATGTTCTGTTTGTCAGTTTGTTTTCACACTTGTGGAAAGTGTGGCATTGATGTCACCCACTACTGCTGTCGTTGGACAGCCAGTGCCTCCATGTCTGTTTATGCTTGTTTCTTGAATTTGGATCGATCAACGTTTGATGCCCATGTATACATGATTTTTATATCACCTTGATGGATTGTCTTCTTTATTAATATGTACCAACCTTCTTTATCTCTTCTAATTTGGGCTTAATGTCAATTTATCAGAGAGCATAGCTTTCCCTGATTTTTTTTCTGCCTCACTTCCATATCTTCACTTTCAGGATGGATGCCTCTTTGCCAGTTTCATACAAACAATCCATTCTTACTGTTTAGTTCCACCAGCTGCTCCACGTCTTTCAACTGGAGACCTAAAGGTGTTCTGTTGAGAGGGATTTATTGAGCTCTGTAATTTTGTTTGTTCTTTTCTTAGTAGATTCATTTTTCCAATTTCTTTCTACTTTATTAGTATTAGGGTTTTGGTAGTTTACTGTGGGGGACGTTGTAGTATTTTCCTATGTTTCCTTTTCTCTATCTCTTCCCCACATAAAACTTATTCTTTCCTGAGTGTTTTTAATAGATTCTGCCTTTCTTCCTTGTCCTTATATAATGTTCCTTTAACTATCCTCTGCAATGGCCGCCTATGGTCATGTCTTGCTTCAGTTGTACTTGTCTTGAAATGTCTTTAGTTCTCCACAGGTTTCACTCTATTTATTTACTTACCATTTGGCATGTATTCTTCCTGGTTTTAGAAGATAATTTTGTAGCATGTATCAGATGGACATTAGAAAATAGACACTGTTTTATCATATGATTATTTTTTATTATATTATTTTATATACTAGTTATCAGGTAGCCATTGATTTTAATTGTAATTCACTTTATGTTTTCTCTTTCTTCTTCTGCAGCTTTTGTTCCAGGGCAGGAACCCTGGTGTGGCCTGGGAATTCTCACTGCCAAGGTCAAGTGATAAGAAGACCCCAGCTGCCCACCATAGCTACACATGGGCCATCGTACACTCAGAGTGCTCTGTTTCCTGTGGAGGGGGTAGGTCACTTCTTATGCAGCCCCAGAGGAGGTATGTAGGTACCAAACAAATGTAGGTACCAAATGCCCAGCCTTGCTGCACATGGGCCATCATGCTCTCTGAGTGTTCTGCCTCCTATGGAGGGCATAGGTCACTTCTTATGCTTCCCTAGAGGTGGTGTGTGGGTACTGAATGAAATCAGGCCACTGGTGATGAGAAACAGAATCATACATGGAAATATAGTGATAGAGTGTGAGAGTTTTAATTCAATCTTATTCATAAAATTAACTGTAATTTGTCACCAACTCATACACTCAAATCTACCAAGAAACTTTGTGAATGTTATAAAAACTATATTGATCGTGATAGTAAGCATCATGGCAGAAAGACATAGTAGATAATAGACTTACTACCTTAGTAGCACAGAAATTTAAAAGTGAGAGATCCAAGAAATTATTTCATTTTTTTTTTATTTTGGGAATTTTCTTTGTAGTTTAATGTATCACCCACCTTTAGAGAAAGTTCCATGAGCTTCTGAAAGTAAGTTTGCTGACTCTTAGGCTGAGTATTCTGAAGACATATTAAGCCTCTGGCTATGTGCACATGATGAAGAAGGGCCACCATTTAGAAATCACAGCCCAGGGCTCAGATTACCAGAGACACCTCTGTTTGTGTTGATGCAGATTCACAGTCTACTCCTGTTTCGTGTCTATCATTATGATGAAAGACCACAGCAAAAATTGACTTACAGGAGCAGGGCTTGGTTTTAGCTCACAGTTTTAGGTTCTAGTCCATCACTGTTGGCAGGAGCTTGGCGTATCCATCACATCACACCCACAGTCAAGATCTGAGAGCTTGCCTGTGCTCAGCTTAGTCTCTCCATTCATATATGGTTTAGTGCCCTCTGCCTAGGGAGTGGTGCTCATCTGCAATGGGCTGAGTCTTCATATTATCAATTAACTTAATTCAGACAGCCTCCCAAAGACATTTCCACAGGTCAATTCAACATATATGTATAGGATATAGGCCCTTATTGAAACTCTCCAGGCCAGTCAAGTTGACAATAAGCTAACCGTCATGCAATCTCTCTCTCTCTCTCTCTCTCTCTCTCTCTCTCTCTCTCTCTCTCTCTCTCTCTCCTTCTCCCTCTCCAAGGAGCATGCTATGCTCATTGCAGTCAAGATAAAAATCCCACATTGTCATCTATGTGCACTCATTGTGGTCTCATATACAGTATCTTGTAGAAACCACAAGGGGTTCAGAGTAGGACTCTTGCAGCCAGCTCATATTCCAAGGTGACTTCTGAAAAACATTTGAGACTGCCTTCTCTCTGTAAAGTTGAGGAATCTGTGATGATAAATGCCAGAAGTCAGTCACCATCCACATCTTGGAGATGTTGGTATTGCTGTCTCTCTCTATAGCAACCAGAAGTTTGGGGAATGGCCCAAGACCACCTAACAGATAACTTAGCTTGAACTCATCTGCTGAGTACCACGTACATGGTCTTCCCACTCCAGCAGACTCCAGATGGATGTACTTTTTTAAAGTTACATTTATTTACATGTGATTTATGTGTGTGTTTGTATGTTCATGTACACATGTCACCATGTGCACATGAGGAAGTCAGGAGACAATTTGTTGAGGTCAGTTCTCTCTTTCCACCACATGGGTCCTAGAAATCAAACTCAGGTCTTTAGGCCTGACAGCAAGTGTCTTTACTCTCTGACACATCTTACTGGCCATGACTCCACTTTAGAGAGTTATGCCCATCAGTCCACAAGAGACTTGTATCCAGGAAACACAATGTTTTCTTCCACCATCCTCCTTTCATAATATTTTGTTGACACATGAATGTATACCTCACCTACAGGTGATGCAGCTCATGGCCATTAAGGATTTATTTAGTCTCATCTCCTTAATTTCCCTTGTGGAACCTCTATTAGAAGGCATAGGCAATGTCCATATTTATTTACTGACTGTTAATTAATGTGACTTATTTTGAAGTGAGGACTTTTATTCTCCTACATTTAACCACCAATTCATCCAAAGTGGTCATCTTGATGAAGTGGTTATTAGAATGTATTATCTCCACTTCTGAACCTTCAGAGTTTGAGAAGTCAATGGAATCCAATGACATTCATCTTTTTATATATACATACTGTATTTCTATCATATTGTCCCCTGATTTGGCCTTTCACTCCAGTTAGTCCCTTTTCTCTTCCCTAAGTAGCACCCTCTTCTAACATCATGTCATTCTTGTGTGACTCAATGAGTTACATCAGGGTTGTTCACAGGACATAAACCCCTTACCAATGGCTACACTACTAAAGAAAAGGCCTTTCTCTCATGAAACATTAACTGTGTATAAATCCTCAGGTAGGTATGGGGCTTACAAGTCTTCCTGTCTTCTATGATGAGGTGTTTATAGACACGATATTACACAAATAATCACAGTTGCTGTAACAACCATGCTATGGCTGTAAGTCAGAGAAATCCAATAAAAAAATAATTGATTACTACTGACACTAAATTGCCACTATTGCACTACTAGGTATTTCCTTCCTGGGTACTCAAGTTTTGTACATGGGGTCTCTGAGTCAGACTGCTGATAACAATCCCATCCACCTTATCCTATAGACCATCTTCTAGCACTTTGAGAATTAGTCAACAGGGAGGAAACTTCCAGCCCAGTTCTGACTTGGTTTCTCTCGATCTTATTACCAAGAATGTGGCGTGATGACATTTGGACTTCAGAATGGAATCCTTGGTTTCCCTAAGTCTGTAAAATTACTCAATACGTTCATGCTGTTGGAACTTTCTAAATCACAAAAGCCAAGTAGAGTTGTTTAAATTATATGCTGCCTGAAAATAGCTTATTCACCTGGTATACAATCAAAATTAGAGCATGAAAATCCAACATCAGTATCATTTTCATATTTCCAGTTCTTGAAGAATGATGAACTGCTCATGAGTCTGATAAGAATATCTCTTGACTGTGTCTTCCTTTCTCAATGGCTTTGCACGGTTCCTCACCTGGAGGAAAATTTGATTCATATACTCTGTACTTTCAAAATCATGTCTCGTACAGACTTTTCAATATGCTGTGTTGCATCATCTTCTTAGCTATCTACAGATATCTAGTTCCCAAATCAGAGAAGACATTTGGAAATGTCTTCACCACTTGATTCAATACCTGTCACCTGGCATCAGCAGTAGGGGTCCTCCTTCTGGGTTTACAAACAGCCATTTGATCTTCTGTGATGGGCCTGACTCTCTGGGGAAATGGTGTCCTGGTGGTCATGAGCTGCCACTGGTCTCCACCTTCCTTTCTGGCTACTTTGTCTTCTCCTTAATCTCTGCTCTTTATTCATGACATAATCACACTTTAGTTCAATTTTCCTGCTCTGTGGGACCCGAATGGACATTCATCCTGCCCCTGGGATGTGGCAGTGAGAGCCAAGAGTCTTGTAGGGATCTGGCTGATCTGATGGGGTCTGTGCCCAGAATGGAGACTTAAATTTGATGCTGAACTCAATTGTCTGCTGTTTATTTCATGAAGGCATCAGCTTTTTTTTTTTTCAAATTTTCATGAAATGTAATTGAATCTTTTTTCTGTGATTCAGTTGGTCCAGTGTGTCTCAAGCAACTAATCATAAGTTCCTGATCCGTACTGAAATGTTTACAAAGCAGGGCTCAAGGCAATGGCCCAAGCTCTCTAATGCACAATGGGCATTTCTGGAGATGAGGCTTTTCTTTCAGATGAATGCATTCACCTCAAACATGACTCAAGCATCCCCAACAAGCTTTAAGACGGGTTTTGTAAACCTCTCATATCTTTCCTTAATACTCTCTTCTTCTATACTATTTCTGGTACTTATACTTTAATTAATTCAGAAGTTAGATTTGGAAAATTGAAGAGAAATTTTCAATTAGCAACCTTGCCCATATTTTATTACTATCAAATCATTTGTTCACTTGTTCATAAATTCCTTCCCTCAGCAAATGCTGAAGTTGAGATCCGAGAATAAAACTTCTTAAAGCTATCCAGGTAAATGCATGAGATCCAAGAGACTATGGCTTTGTCCCTTTGTGTCTGGATTGGCAGTGAAATATCATTGAATTTCATGAACATGAATTAGTGACTTTTTAGTAGATAGCCAATATCAGTGTGGTATACCAGGAGACCTCATGAACAAAGTGGGTGTTTCTATGAACTCATTGTTTCTTAAATGTATGATGACGACCAGGGCTGGGACCTGAGCCTTTAAGTGTGTGGAGGGGGGGCATGCCTGAGGAGGCCCAAGAGGGAACTGATCTTCAGGATATGGGGATTGTGAGCTACTCAACATGGGTGCTTGGAAATGAATTTAAATCCTCTGCAAGAGCTGTATGCACTATTAACAAATGACCCATCCCTCTAGCCCTGGTTTTAGACATGTTGGATCCACAAAAACACACTCAGTCTGGAGTGGGATTTTCCTAGTCTCCATGTGTGGTGATGGAAGATTGTAATCCTATTGTATGAAATGATCCACAAGGAAACCCAGTGTGACATCACAAGTGTGTGTCCTGTAGAGCAGTATTACAGAGATAGATCCAGATAGCAGGGCTCTCTGGTCCTACTGCTTTAATTGTCTACACTTCCCCATCTGCACAGGACCTGACTATTACACCCTCCTACCTTTGCTTTATGTGAGACAATGTTCTGAAGCTCAGCATGACTGCTTCCCTCTTTGGAACTTTACCAGAGGAACAAGGTGGCAGAGATGAACTGGAAATGATACTGGGTTTCAGTTATCTTTGAGTTGATTCACTACCTCTGTGTCCTTGTGTCCTTGGCCAAGAGTCTGATAAATTCAAACTGAGTTTCTATCCTCAATCTTATCTCCCTACCACCTAAAGGAAAATAAGTGAGAGAAAAATAGTGTGTGTTCTAGAGAGAGAAGACCCTTTCCTCAGTGGACCTGAGCTGGATCGACACCACACAGTGTCTTCAAGTATGCTTATAGTTCAGGGTGAAACAAAGAAGTCCCCCTTACCAAGGAGCACTCACCCTTCCTCCCATAGCCTCTCCATCAGGGCACTAGGGTTAAGTGTCTGTCCTGGGCCCTGAGCACAGGACACTTGCCTGATCCTGGTGGACATAGCCATCTCCTCTCTACACCCTACTGGGGTGTGTACTCATGCATACAGGGTTACATGTCTGTGCGTTTGGAACCTGAGACGGTGGGCCGTCAGTGTTTATGTCAATATTACTTGCACATCTTCTCATTTCAATATGGATTTTATTCCCCCCAAACTCATGCAAGAGTTCAGTCCCCAAGGCCTCATGTTAGTGCAACTAACAGAGTAGAAAATTATTTCCACTACAGTATTTAGTAGAGGAGCCTTTGGGAAAAGATTAAATTCAGCTGCTCTGAGGATAGTTCTGCAGGAGTCACATGCACAAGGAAATCCCAAGGATGCAAGGGGTGGGTGGAGTTGGATACACTGAAAGCACAGGAACTCATAGGGGAGGAGGGCTGCCACAGGCGTTTTCAGCACCAATGCAAAAGTAAGGGGATGTCATTGAAGGACACATGTCCTGGACTCTCATGGCCTGAGATGTAAGAATGTAGCTGTAAAAGACCAGAACCTAATCATGTAAAAGGTCTACCCTCTGCTGAAATATGAGATGAACATAATTAATATTAGTGTTTATTTAAATCAACTCAGTAGGTTACCTATATTAACAATAATAATTAAAAATGATGAAGTCATGAATTTGAGATGAAATGAGGGGGTATGGAAGTAGAAAAGAAAGGGATGGAAATGATATAAATGTAGTATTCATATATAAATTTTAACTAAATTAATATATTTGGGAAATTCGCTTTTTGTAAAATGATTTTATTTCATCAAATGAATGACAGCATTGGTTGCAAAACTATACTAAATTTATTTATTGTTTTGTTTATTCATTCATGACAGTCCTGGGGATTGAGCCTAGGCTTTGTGCTTATTTTAGGAAAACATTCTACCCCTCAGCTGTACCCTCAGTGTAAAACATATTGAATTTAAAGATAGAGAGAAATATGTCAATTCTGAAATATTGGGCATTCACACAAAGGCATGCAAGCATACTTAAGGCTTTTCAAAAGATTTTTAAGATGATTTTGCTAGCTCTTCTGCACTTTTATCTCTGGGCATGGCTGCAAGTCTTTATCACATGCTCCCTTTCTACAGGCAAGATGAACTCAAAGGAGGGATGCTACAGAGACCTGAAGGTTCAAGTGAATGCATCCTTCTGCAACCCCAAGACACGACCTGTCACAGGGCTGGTGCCCTGCAAGGTGTCAGCCTGTCCTCCCAGGTAAGAAGGCTCGGGGTTCACAGATCATTGGAGTTCTTGGGTCTGGAGACTGAGAAGTGATCATTGCCAGCTCCTGTTTCATTTCAGCAAAGAGACAAATGGAACAAGAGCTGCCTTAATGTAGAACCAGGAAAAAGACTCTAGGGGTGATAAATAGCCTGGAAATTCTTTCACCTGTGAGAAGGAGTTCTTCCCTTAGCATCCTGATGTTTTTATAAGCATGTCTATAGTGACAGTGGTAGATTCTCCTGAAGTCTCTGGTGTCAGTCACTACTGTTTGCTACTTACTTACTGATAACAGGTATTGGGAGAGCCATTCCCAAGGTCTGCCCAGAGTATTGTCACACTCTTGTGCATGGGTGAGCCAGGCTATCTGTCATCTCCTTTCTGCCCTGGAGACTACCACCCCTCTGTTCTCTGAGATGTTGGGTTGGGGAGTTTCCTGAGAGACAGGAGCTACTGGCCATGTAAGACCTGACCCTGGGACTTCACTGTCTTTGGTCTTTGTCTTTATGTGGTCAGGTCACAATGGGAGGTGAAAAAATCACTTGAGATGATGAAACTCTCACTTCAATGAGCCCCTTCACAGAGCCAAGGGAACTCAGACACTTAATAAAGACAATCCTGACAGGGTGGTGGTGGTGGTGTATGCCTTTAATCCCAGCACTCCAGAGGCAGAGGCAGACAGATGTCTGTGAGTTCAAGGCCAGCCTGGTCTACAGAGCAAGTTCCAGGATCTCCAGGGCTACACAAAGAAACTCTGTCTTGAAAAACAAAATCAAAAATAAAAAGAAAATCCAAAAAATATCTCTATGTGAAGATCCATAAAGTATAGCAAATGGATCCTCAATTTGAGGAAATGCTCTGCCGAAGTACATGACTACAGGAGGGCAAGTTGCCGGCTCTCCACTCTCCATGGAGCTCCATGTGAATCCAGCCCCACCCCTCTCTCTCCATAGCAATGGAGACACATATAACAGTTAAGCTTGGAGTTGCCCCTGTCAGAGCCTTCTCCAGAAGATGATGCCAACTCAATAGAGATGTCCCCAATGTGTGTGGGGATCTACCACTTTTCTCGGCCACCAGCCCCACCTCAACCACGGTTCCTTGACATCACATCCCATGGCTAGCCAGGTGTTGGTCAGAAGTTAGACAGGATTTGATGAACCCTCAGTCACTAGGGTCTCCAAAGATATTTTTGGGTTGTTTTTGGTTGGTTGGTTGGTTGGTTGTTTGGTTGGTTGGTTGGTTGGTTTTTTGAGAATCTGGGATTTATACTAGGGTGAAGGGATGTTCTTAGAATCCATGGACACTGGGGGCAATATTCTATAACAGCACTAGTCCTATAGCTTGCCATACAGCCCAGCCGGCTGATAAAAGACCACCACTGGCCACCTCTTATCTGAGTGTCCCACAGGATGAGCTGAGCCAGACAGAAAGAGCAGAGTATGCCATGGATTGCTCTGGTCCTGTGCAATTTAGACTCATAAAAATGAAGAAAATGGACTCTGGCCTGTCAGCTGGGGAACATGTGTGGGCCCTCTGAATGTGGTGACAGTTATGTGGCTAGATCTGTTTGGGGAGTCCTGGGCAGTGGGACCAGGACTTATCTCTGTGCATGAAATGGTTTTTTGGAACACATTCCCTAAGGTGGGATACCTTGCTCAGCCTTAACACAGGTGGGAGGGACTTGGTCCTAGTCCCAGTATGCCAGACTTTGTTGACTCCCCAAGAGAGGCCTTGCCCTCTCTGAGGAGTGGATTGGGGGGTGGGTGGGATGGAAGGAGGTGGGGGGCAGGAGAAGGAGAGGGAGGAGGAACTAGGATTGGTATGTAAAATGAGAATTGGTATGTAAAATGTAAAAAAAAATTTAATTAAAAAAGAGACAGAGATTCACCACATACTCCCTACTAATCAATAATATCCTCACTACGAACCTATCAATACTGCTAGTATATGATGTAAGTCAGATGGATATATTTTTGTGTGTGTGTGCCTTTGTGTGTGTGTGTGCACGCGCGTACGCATGTGTGTGCCTGTGCCTGTGCATGTGTGCATGTGCCTGTGTGTGTTCATGTGCGTGCATGTGTATGTGTGTGTGTGTGTGTGTGTGTGTGTGTGTGTGTGTGTGTGACCAAAAGCAGAACAATATCTTGGAGATTTAAAAATATTTCTGCTTTTCAGGAAACTTAGGAAATTCCTCATGTTAAACCACATATAAATCTCTCATAATATTTTCACTATTCTGGTCTCCAGGTCTCAGTGTGACTGACTCCAAAATGTCCACATTCCCTCCATACTCAATATAACTGTCACCTGATATTCCAACCTATGACACATGTCTCAAATACTTACAGAAATGAATAAATATATAGAATAAATAGATCTACTGACACAGTGGATCAATAAATTCATAGACATATAGATAGATGATAGATGAAAAATGAATGGTAGATCTTAGACACAGATTTTTAGATATTCAATTTATAGATAGAGAATATATTTATAGATATACAGATAGATTACATATATAGATGTATGATAGATATAATTAGATAGATAGATGATAGACAGACATAAATAGATAGATAGGTAGGTGATAGATGATAGATAGATAATAATTAGATAGATAGCTAGATGATATATAGATAGATATATAGATAGATAGATAGATAGATAGATAGATAGATAGATAGATAGATAGATAGATAGATAGATAGATAGATAACAGGTAGAAAGGTAGAGGATAGACACCTACATGCAGCATACATAGCTGTCACCCAGAGAGGCAGGCTGTATTGCCAATCGGTGTCTGTTTTCACATGATCATTGCATGTGTTGCTCACTGGAAGCTTTAATCAGAACTAGGACTTTGGAGAGGAAAACAGGAGACACTGGAGGATGTTGGGCACAGTTGGTCCCGTTGCTTTTTTCTCCAATACTGAAATTATTTAAAGCTGTGTCTCTGCACTTCTAAGTTTATTGAAGTTTCCAGATGGAGATTCTTTCTCTTTCAAGCATTTTTACTTTGCAGAAGAAGAGTTCACATTATACCATTTTGGGGGCTTTCTTCGATAACTGGGGAATGGAAGGCTTTAGGGCCCTGCGCTCTGTTCTGCAGAAAGGTGATTTACATGACCATCAGATGGAACTCCTAGGGTGTCAGTTTAAATCCCTCATACCCTCATTTCTGCTTGCCCTGTATATCAAAACCCCACAATTGGCCATTTCTCAACAATTTCTCATAAACTTACTTCCTAATTGACTTTAAAATTGTACCACGCCAGTGGGGTTGTAGTTCCGCCGTGAGTTGTTGTTATTAAATGGGGACCATCCTCATCTCTAAGGTTGCTTTCTGTCTTGCAGTCTGTATTATGTGGCATGAGCATGATGGAGCCAGCTTTGTGTCCTCTGTCTTTGTTCGGGCTGATGCATTCCAATCCTCTTTATTTTTAAATAGCTGTGCATATTCCTTCAGTGGGTTTTGTTTGATCAAGTGAAGAATATCTGTTTTATGTATAAATGCAATCTACTTTTATGAACTGTGGCCACAGGTGAGGTCACTTTGGATCAATCTGTTTATTGTGTCATCCATCTACCGGATGTTTCTTTTGTATCTCACACTTCCTGCCATATCTTAAAGTCAGTCGTATTTAGAATGTAGGTGTATTTTTGTTCACTGTTTCCAAATCTTTTTGAAAATTTCATATATGTATATAATGAAATATGATCACAGCCATCTCCCATTTCACCTTCCGGCTCCTCACATATCCTCCCTAATGACTGTTTTCTGTAGTTTATATTAACATTTTCTAAGAATACAAGCTACATTTTAGTGATTTGTTAAAGCATTTAATTAACGAACCACCTATGAATAAACAGTGCTTTTCAAGCATCTTCCCTTACAATGTGAGAGTCTAGAAGAAAAGGATTATTCCTGCCTTTTATTATTCGACCATGACATTTTTGAAAAGTATTAATAAGATGACTGAATCTTAGCACTTTCTCATCCTTTGTTCCCCTCCTGGCTGTTTACACAGCCTTTATTTTGCTAGTGAAGTTTCCAAGGAATCATGCACAGTCTTCTGTTACTTCCATGAAGCTCCCATGTATTTTAAGACAATATTCCTCAGGTTGTATTTTATATTAAAGCCTCGCTTTCAAACAAAACCTCCCATCACTGTGTAAACAGTGTCTCAGGGTGAGAACAAGATTACAAGACCCCATGAGACCTTACCAAGTCAGTTTGAGCCGTTTGCGCAGCTCCCATCTAAGCTCAGTGTTCTCCTCCTCTGCCCCGCTCAGCTCAGGCCCCTACCGTGTAACTAGTATCTTTCTCCATCTGCTTTGCTTTATATTGCTGTCACCCTTACTGCGTTCTGTCTCCTTTCCGGAATCACAGCCTGTTGATCTGTTTCGTAGTCCTGACGACAACTGTAGGGTTTGATGGTCTGTTCAAATGAACCAGGTGGCTGGGCCAGTCTCTGAGCTACAGTTTCCTCACTCTTCAGTTAGGTTCTTCAGGTCTTTGCTAGTTGGAGGGCATGAGACTAAAGAGGAGTCTCAGAAGGGTAATTATAGTCTGGGATTCTCAGCTGTGCTTCTCCCAGCTCCAGTCACTGCTCTGTCTTAACTCTCTCTTCTTGTTGTCTTTATCCATAGAATCAGTACTCCAACATTTCCTAAGAGAAGTCTAGTTGGTGAACCTGGGTTTGCTGAAGTCAGTCTTCCTACAAAGTTCTATTTCTTAATTGTGTGGTGCTATGTACCTCTGACATGAGCACTTTGAAGAAAGTGTTCTGTTCCAGGCTTCTTTCACCTACTCATTCTGTCTGGGTCATCTCTATCCAAGTCATTGTGAGACCTCGGGTACATGTAACTGCTGCTGCCAGCTCTGTGCTTTCCCGGTGCACTGTGGAGCCAGTGGTAGTGTGTGGCACAAGTTGTGTCTAGCAGTGGGTTGAGGAGGGGGTGTTTTGTTGTTTTGTCTCATTGTTTGT